GTGAGTGTAAAGTGAGTGGTGAGTGTAAAGTGAGTGGTGAGTGTAAAGTGAGTGGTGAGTGTAAAGTGAGTGGCGAGTGTAAAGTGAGTGGTGAGTGTAAAGTGAGTGGTGAGTGTAAAGTGAGTGGTGAGTGTTAGGTGAGTGGTGAGTGTAAAGTGAGTGGTGAGTGTAAAGTGAGTGGTGAGCGTAAAGTGAGTGGTGAGCGTAAAGTGAGTGGTGAGTGTAAAGTGAGTGGCGAGTGTTAGGTGAGTGGTGAGTGTAAAGTGAGTGGTGAGTGTAAAGTGAGTGGTGAGTGTAAAGTGAGTGGTGAGCGTAAAGTGAGTGGTGAGCGTAAAGTGAGTGGTGAGCGTAAAGTGAGTGGTGAGTGTTAGGTGAGTGGTGAGTGCAATATCACTATTGCGACTCGAATGCGCATACAATATGGAACTGCATTGCACTGCACGACGATGAAAGTGCAACATGACCGAGCCATCGCCTGCGTGCGTGCATCGAGGCGCGCATAATCAGGAGGAACCCTCTGCAGCTGATTGGTGCTCAGGTACAGCGTTTGTAGGTTTGTGAGCGTCTTGAATATTCCTTCGGGGATACTCTGCAGCTGATTGACGTTCATTGAAACTGTGTTATAATCTGCTTACCTAGACAGACGCTTCGTGTTAATGTGCGGTATACGGTTAGGCATATAAAATAGCTTTTAGAAGGATATTTTGTTGGTTTTTAAAGACAAAATAAAATGAAACATTACACCAGTGTTTCCAAATCTCCAATTCTCGCGTCTCAACACGGTCCGCTTTTCCAGTAGAAATTCGAGTTAAATCGTGCACGCTCAAGGTGCCATTCGTTCGTGCGACGCATTGCAGAAACAAGCAGCTGACTTTGGGAACGGCAGCAAATGTAACAAATTGATGCCTTGGTTCTTTAGCGGCCATTCAACGGTATTGGTTGTTGTGAGCTGCTGATGTTCTATGGTGATGCCGTTCAACGGTGTCGGGGCTCTGCAATCGCCGGTGGAGCTCTCATTCTTGCTCCACTTGTGCAGGAGACGAGCCCGTGGTACCGTGTATCTATTTATAGGACATTGGTCGGCGATAGCTTGGACGACTGCATCAACGTCACGTGCCCAATGCACACATTACCTGCTATGACATGGTAACAATTCATATGCCCATTTCAAAACTGGTCATCAGAAAACATTTTTAAAACGTAACTCTCATCTGGCCCCATGGTATGAAGTACAGTCTCCAAACCACAACTCCATCTGGCCTCTGTGCGTGTGTGCTATGAAGAAAGGGCATTTGCCCAAAACGTCGCCGATTTTATGTAGATTTATTGTGTAGGGCCACAGTGTCATCGACCAATGTGTTGAGTGTTTTGCTTTGATGCATGGATTGAGAACAGTGTCACAAGCAACGACATTGTAACTAGAGCTCAAAAGTGCGCAAATGAGCACGGAGAGAGGTGAGTAGATGCGAAGAGGAACACGTGGATTACAGAACATCCGGTATTCACGTGAGAAGGGTCTATGGGAACAGTGGGCTTGTGCAGAACACGCTGCAGAATGACAATTGGAAACAAAGGAGGGAACACATCGGCGAGGACGTCCACTGCGAGAGATGGAGCGATGGAATCAGCGTGTGTGCAGGAGCTGGCGGGAATTGTTGCATTTTAGGAACGGGAGATCTTGCAATGGCTTGGAGAGCAGCCTTCATTAGCAGCGGATAGATCATGGGTGATGATGGTATAAACGCCTTACATGTAATCCAGTGATTGTGACCGATGGTTTCAAGTTGTTTAAATTGCAGGACTACCAACAGTCTCCGTGTGTGACTCAACTCGGTGGAATAACCACGGGCTCCTTGCACCACAGAGTGGCGGTCCCGAGGCTGGGTAAGCCGTCATAGGCCCCGTTAGGAACCCTCTGCAACTCATTCTGTTGCAGATACAGCCGGAGTATTGATGATTACAGCAGCACATTGTTACATACCCAATTTCTGTATATACATTACAGTATACATCGTTGTATGCTTAAACATGGGGAAAAGGTTAAAGAAAGTGATGATGATTTTCAATATAGCAAAAAAATGTTAATGGAAAAATTGCACATTTATGCTGTTCTTTGCTCCTGCATGGTAGGCTGTTGCATAGACTTACTGGCAGAATTAAATGCATTGAGGAATTGGATATTTGATGCCTATGTCTCTTTTAAAATCAAATCCTACGATCGCAATGCATTCAAATGTAATAATTCAGTTGCCTTCCTCAATCCACTGCTGGTTGATGAGCACCCCATGCTGTGATAGTTGTTAGGGGCTGGCCGGTCAGTGTGGGTTGGAGATGTTGATTTTTTTTTTGCAGCAGATGTCAGAAATGTAACGAAATTGGGCCAAGTTGGCCTTCCGAAAGTTCCAACGCGGCAATGGCAAAAACAAATTAAACTTGCTTCCTCCACCTGCTTGCAAAGTTCAGGATTGTAAACATTTGCAACTCTCGTGGATACTTTGATTCTAATATCCATTGCAAGCGTCTCTAATTCTATTTAGATGAAGATTGAACCAGAAAATGAATTACTAAGTGCATTATTCTTACTAGAACATTCATACCTGTCAAGCCACATGGTTTACTCCGTATTCTTGTGCGGGGAAAATTTCATTTTCGAGTCCATATGGCGGCCAGTGCTGCATTGAAGCGTAATGTTGCACAAATGTTACGCGCTATAAAAATTACCTTTAAAATCTATTTTTGGAGTAACACACTCACACTTGCCCCCTTATAGTATTGCTGATGATACCAGCATTATTTATGCTGAGTGACTTGCTTACCTTGACTCTCCTATCGTGTTTTTTGTATTGTTGTTGTACCTCGCTGACCCCATGCCCTTGCTGGACATCTGTGGTAAAAAGAGCTTTATAGTTCATCGGATTCTTCCGGCGGTCTACATAACGATCCTAATGAATTCATTATCCACCTAACCACCTGGTCTCGGTTGTTACCAGAAATTGCAGAAACATTTACCAGTTATTTATAAAATACTGAAGGAGCATGGTGGGAAGTGATATTTTAATTTTTTTTTATTTAACGGGTCCCGCAGCTCCGTTTTGCACGGTCGGCTATGTACGATGCGAAAGAAGTTCAACACAGTACATACAATCCTTGGTCGTTTCTGCGTGGATTAAATATCGGCCGTTCTATAGGGGGGTAGGGGTCACGCCTTGACAAATTGTCGCCTCAATCTTGATGTGAAGATTGTCGCCTCAATCTTGATGTGAAGATTGTCGCCTCAATCTTGATGTGAAGATTGTTGCCTCAATCTTGATGTGAAGATTGTCGCCTCAATCTTGATGTGAAGATTGTCGCCTCAATCTTGATGTGAAGATTGTCGCCTCAATCTCGATGTGAAGATTGTTGCCTCAATCTTGATGTGAAGATTGTCGCCTCAATCTTGATGTGAAGATTGTCGCCTCAATCTTGATGTGAAGATTGTCGCCTCAATCTTGATGTGAAGATTGTTGCCTCAATCTTGATGTGAAGATTGTTGACTCAATCTTGATGTGAAGATTGTTGACTCAATCTTGATGTGAAGATTGTTGCCTCAATCTTGATGTGAAGATTGTCGCCTCAATCTTGATGTGAAGATTGTTGACTCAATCTTGATGTGAAGATTGTTGACTCAATCTTGATGTGAAGATTGTTGCCTCAATCTTGATGTGAAGATTGTCGCCTCAATCTTGATGTGAAGATTGTCGCCTCAATCTTGATGTGAAGATTGTCGCCTCAATCTTGATGTGAAGATTGTTGCCTCAATCTTCATGTGAGGATTGTCGCCTCAATCTTGATGTGAAGATTGTCGCCTCAATCTTGATGTGAAGATTGTTACCTCAATCTTGATGTGAAGATTGTTGCCTCAATCTTGATGTGAAGATTGTCGCCTCCATCTTGATGTGAAGATTGTCGCCTCAATCTTGATGTGAAGATTGTCGCCTCAATCTTGATGTGAAGATTGTTGCCTCAATCTTGATGTGAAGATTGTCGCCTCAATCTTGATGTGAAGATTGTCGCCTCAATCTTGATGTGAAGATTGTCGCCTCCATCTTGATGTGAAGATTGTCGCCTCCATCTTGATGTGAAGATTGTCGCCTCAATCTTGATGTGAAGATTGTCGCCTCAATCTTGATGTGAAGATTGTCGCCTCCATCTTGATGTGGAGATTGTCGCCTCCATCTTGATGTGAAGATTGTCGCCTCCATCTTGATGTGAAGATTGTCGCCTCAATCTTGATGTGAAGATTGTCGCCTCAATCTTGATGTGAAGATTGTCGCCTCCATCTTGATGTGAAGATTGTCGCCTCAATCTTGATGTGAAGATTGTCGCCTCCATCTTGATGTGAAGATTGTTGACTCAATCTTGATGTGAAGATTGTTGACTCAATCTTGATGTGAAGATTGTTGCCTCAATCTTGATGTGAAGATTGTCGCCTCAATCTTGATGTGAAGATTGTCGCCTCAATCTTGATGTGAAGATTGTCGCCTCAATCTTGATGTGAAGATTGTTGCCTCAATCTTCATGTGAAGATTGTCGCCTCAATCTTGATGTGAAGATTGTCGCCTCAATCTTGATGTGAAGATTGTTACCTCAATCTTGATGTGAAGAGTGTTGCCTCAATCTTGATGTGAAGATTGTCGCCTCAATCTTGATGTGAAGATTGTCGCCTCAATCTTGATGTGAAGATTGTCGCCTCCATCTTGATGTAAAGATTGTCGCCTCCATCTTGATGTGAAGTTTGTCGCCTCAATCTTGATGTGAAGATTGTTGACTCAATCTTGACGTGAAGATTGTCGCCTCAATCTTGATGTGAAGATTGTAGACTCCCTGCTCAGTGGGTGACCTCTAAGGGAGACTGACAAAGCGCTGCCTCACCTGCAGGGGGCGCAGTCGCCTACCGTCAAACCGGGACGCAACTCTCAGGCGATGATGTTGCAATCACCAAAGAGGAACTTGAAACTTGAGCCACTGTTCTGGAACTTCAGTCATTTTCTGTTCTTTGGTGCAGCAGCAGCAGCGACGGGCCGTGAGCTTGTGTTGAGTTTCGATTTAAAGCTTTCGTGACTGCAGGGATTCATCTTCTTGGTTCTTTCGGTAAAGTCACGTAGAAGGGAAGTAATAAAATAATAAAAATAAAACATAATAAAATAATTATCACGACGTTTCGGCCACAACGCAAGCAGCCGTCCTCACCTGAGGACTTCCCTTCTACGTGACTACCTTGTGTTGAGTGTCCACGAGTCAAGCGGAGAGAGACGGCGCGGATTGTCACCATGAGGAGGATGAGGAGGAAAGGCGACTTGGACAGCTGCTGCGGGCTCGCGTGTCTCCTGCTGGCCCTGGTGAGACCTTGTCTTCGTCTTCGTGGTGGTGTGAGGAGGGTGGTGAGGGTGGAGATGTGGCCAGGCCACAGCCCGTTGCGTTCAGATACCGGGAGCCCGTGTGGGTCTCTCTTGGCGACGTTGAATCTGTGGCGATGTGAAGCAGAGTGAAGTACTGTGTTTATATATCACTGCGTTGTAGAGTCCGTGTGTGTGTTCAACTTCATCACACGGAGGCTTTCGCGACCAGTATGTGTATTTACGCGATCTAACCCATGCAACATTTATTATGAATACTGTGCGTTGAACTTCTTTCGCACCGTACGTAGCCCATCGTGCTCACGGGATGTGTGGGCACGGTAATTTACGAGTCATTTTGAAAAGAGGTTCTGGTAGGAGATCGGGTTTGTGCCCGAATTAATGAGATATGAGAAGCTAAGCAGGCTTGAGCCTGCGTAGGATGGGGCGACCTCGTACCAGGTGGTATAGGCTGCGTGGTAGGAGGGCAGTGCTGCTGCTGCCGCCCTCTCTATTGATCGAAATATACTAATAGGGTTTTTCCCCTTTTTTCTGGCAACAAAACTGACACCTTTTGCAGGGAATCATGCTTACATTAACCACAATACTGCAAACAAAAAACAATATACTCTGATAATTATCAGAGTATATTGTTTTTTGTTTGCATTTGACTGCAAGTATTGTGGTTGATGTAAGCATAAATCCTTGCAAAAGGTGTCAGTTTTGTTGCCAGAGAAAAGGGGAAAACCCCTATTAGTAGATGTTACATTTCTTCTGCGTGAATCCCAATTGATTAATTTTCAGAAAAGAATTAAAGTTGGACCCTGACCTCGACACACAATGGCTTCCCTCTGGTCTTTGCACTGTTAAGTGAATGATGCCCTTTCATGCCATGCTCGTTATAGTCGGCTCACCACTCCTCCACCACACCCCACTTTCAGAATGTTTAATAATAATCAGTTTAACTTCATTGCCTCAGGCTCATGAGCCTTCCTTGCAGGGTTCAGTGTGAATGCACTCGGCTCACAGGGCCAGATAAGAATCATGTTGTTTTTGTTTTATGAATGGATGTTATCTAATCAGGTGAAAAATATTGATATGCACAGCCTCTTTTGATATGTTGCCTCTTGAGCATCTTTATTTTATCAGAAGAAACCATTACAAATAACAAAAGCCTGACGTTATCCAGTACAGATAACAAAGTGGTTAATACATTGTAACAACAATAGTCCAAACTATGTTTAATATGTCGGCTTTGACGACCAACATTTTCTATAAGAGTTTTTTTGGGTGTGATCACGTAAATATACTCTCCTACACACCGGTGTGCTGAACTAGTAAGTCATTGGCATGTTTCGTTTTCGTGACAAACCTTACTAGTTGGCTGTGTCAGTTGTGGCGGGTTTAACGACACATTTATATTTACGAGATCTCACCAAAAAAAACTCTGTTATAGTCCCAAAGTATGTTTACCTCTCGTGGAAAATGATCAAGGTGATTGATTAGCAGTTCCTGACTATCTGTCAGCCGTAATCTTTAACCAGCGTCGATGGTTTGTGCAGTAGCAGCACGTCTGTTGGGCTACAAGGAAGATCCCTCGTTTGTTGGGCAACTTAAATGCACATTCTTGAAACAAAATGGTGGCTATTGGGGCTTCTTAAGATGGAGGGCGAGTGAACTCACTCCGCTTGAAGGGATATTTAGAGCTCTCGTTTCACACAAGTAGAGACGAAGTTTATGTTTTTTTTTTATTTAAACGCCTGTGCCAGCGGTCCCAATGAAATGAGTTGCGGTCCCAGCCGGTGATCTAAATGAGGGAGGCTGGCCACAAAAGTATAAAGCCACTGGAGATGCCAGTAAACAATCCACTTTCTACCCTTTATATTCCCCTAACGCAGCTAACCAACAAACATGTCATAGTTTGAGCAGGTAGAGGGCATCACAGTCTACTTGAAGAGCATCCACAATGAAGCCAATTTACCATGAGCCAGTTCTATTGCCATCAGCCGAGCTGAGCAGGTAGTGTGCCGAGTTAGCTCATCACGATTTTCATAGACAAGACAATAAATAACGTAAATAATTTGTCTATTATCGCTAAATTTACTTGTCAGCGCGAACCTTTAAGCCAGCACAAACCGAGCCACTGGTGTGTGTCTGTGTATGTAACGAGGCTCACGGTCCCAGCTCATCTCTCGTGTGAGCCTGGAACACCGTGCGGAGCCTGGGGCTGACAGGGTCACTGGGACCGTGAAGATCGTTAACGTGGGGAATGGAGCCCATGGCTCCACGGTGCAAGCCGTGCCACGGTTTCCCAGCTCTACTGTTGATAATGCTGGTGATGATGATGATAATCACAATTATGATACTGGTGCTGTTGGTGCTTGTGATTACACTGTGTATATTAATCTGAGATGGTGGTGGTCATAGAGTTGGTGGTGTGATAATAGACAGGACATTAATGCTCATATGCCCAAGTCCCATTACTTGTTTTCAAGAATGTTCTGCGAGTAAGGTTCACCATTTTTTTGTTCAAATGCCAATCCTAAAACCTGGACTTCAAGCAATACACTTGTCCGGCCAATGGTACCGTCGTGTAGATTATAAGCCTCACCTTACTTCTGTATTTTAAGTAAATGTGTGTATGCGTATATGACCAGATTTATATGAAATTTTTAGGGATGCGTCTTACTCTGTGGAGTGTCTTATAATGTAAATAATTTGAAATGAAAAAGCAGTGCCTTGCTCCAATAAATACAACTATATTAATGTCTTTGTATTTTATCGATAGGCTGCTTTTTCCACCGCAATCGAAGGCCCAGCTGTGAATTCAGAATGTGCCAAAGGATCTTACAGATCGCAGATTGGTCACTGCTGCCTGTTGTGTCGAGCAGGTATGTATGGAAACACACACACTGAGTCACCCAACACACAGGACTGGCACTACTGCCGCTGCAGATCAAGGTCAAGGAAAGCATTCTCACGTGACCTTGTCTCAAACCTTAACCCTGAGTCCTAAACTCTAACCTCTAACCCCAACCCTAACCCCATGGCCAAACCCCAAAATATTACCATACAAAAATAAGGAATCTGGGCATGCATGGCTTAAAATTAATTAATTAGGAATATAGGCTAAAGGGAAAATTGTATGTTGAACTTCTTTTGCACCGTACGTCGCCAACCGTGCTAATCGGAGGTACGATTGGAAAATGTGACAAACTGGCTGGCAGCAGTGATGCAGCGAGAGACCACTGTGCAGCGGTTTCTTTTTTTTTGGATTCATCAGTGCAATATGGTTACCAATATTCACAATTACAATGTCTGCAGACTGTGAAAACTGAACACCTGAACCCTAAAAAATATCACTTAATTAATAAAGAACAAAAACTTCATCACAGATCTCAGAATGTAAGCACTGAGAGAAATTGCTCTTCGCAGGGGTGCATTGCTGCTTTGTTTTCCTGTACCTCTCAGGGTCATACAAGAAAATGGACTGTGCATCAGAGGGCCAGGAGGCCTCGTGTGAAGTTTGCCCTCGTGACCAGTACATGGACCAAGACAACAATGCCCCACGTTGTGAAAATTGCAGCCGCTGCAGAGAAGGTGAAATAATGAATGTTAATTATAATGTTGACTATGGCCAGAAATTAGCTTTATGTCGCTATGTAATGAATATGCCTATGCCCACATCACCCAAATGTAGTCAGTCGTGAAGGATGAACAGGTTTAAGCCCAGATGGTACTTGGATGAGTGACCATCATGCATAAAACAATTTGTAGCCTACTGCTGAGCTATGTTCTCAACAGAGACCAGTGCAGCAAAATCAATTGTCGCACAGTACTCTGCTCAAATGTCTGCGTTCCCTGCTTTCACCTACTCGTACTGACCAGCATGGTGAAGTAATGTCAAATAACTCCACCATGTTCCACATGGTGGCAGGGTGTGAACTCCCTCGCCTGGTATGCTGGAGGTCGTGGGTTTCAATCCCGACCCTGACGCCTTTTTATTTGGAGTTTGCATGTTCTCCCCGTGGTCGTGTGGATTTTTCCCTGGGTCCTCCGGTTTTTCTTTCCTTTAGAAACATGCGTCCAGAGTATTTGGCTGCTATAAATTTCCACGTGATAAGCCACTTCATTGAGCTCTCATTTGTTGGCAGCTTGCTTCTGAAAAAGAGCTATGTAGCTCAGTGGGCCTTACCTGGTTAAATACAAATAGTTAAATAGTTTAGTTTAAAACATGTTTGTGCAAACACACTGATCGCCTGGATTGTGACCTGTCAGCGAGTTAATTTTATCATCGAATTCATCATTTTCATTCACACAAATGCCAATCTCTCTGATTCGACATGCAGATGAGGAAGCTGTTGTGATCTGCTCTGTGGCCCAGGACACCAAATGTGATTGCAAAGATGGACTCAATAGAGACCCCACCTCAGATACTTGTGTCCCGATTGGAGGTAAGTTTACGAGTTGTTCACACCAATTATAAATATTTGAATAGCATTGGCCGTCACTGTCACCCACAGTGGTGAATTGTTTCCACTGGGTCTTAGATTAAAAAAGAATTGGACACACTCCCTCAGGTTACCCAAACATCCCTATGGGTAACAGAGGTGTTGCTGTATGTGTTAAATTTCTACATTTAAGTGATATTTGTATGTCATCAACACCCACTAACGTTTAATTCACACTTAGTAGCTATTGCCTAGACATTTACACTTCAGTAGCACTTAAACATCACTAGAGTAGAGTAAGCCCAAGTCATTTTCAGTCGCCATGATGCAGAGGTGGAAGTCTGAGGTTCACTGGATGCCAAAGACTGAAGAGTTCTTTCTGATGGGCTTGAAGATTACCGTCTTTTTATTTGCTAGATAAATGTAAAATAAATGCGATACAATGACAGACGGAGTGCATCTATCTTAATTATGGAGTGCATCTAGCGGAGCATGTGGCATCGTAGGCAATGAGTTTACATTCCATACAACAGACAAGGACATCACTTAAGATGTCCTAGAGCACACAAACGCACATCAATTGTACCCTCTAGCATGTGTAGGGGTTATTACGGGAGGAACAGCGGACAACAAACACAGGGCTGTCGGCACTCACATACACGGGTGGTCACACCGACGTCCGCATCAGTTATTGCCCACGCCCCCAGCCCTTGGAGGCGATCCCTATAAAAGGTGGAACCCAAAGAGCTCGAGTTGAGTTCGACACGAAGCTGACCAGTGAAGATCCAAGACTCGGAGATTAGGCCCTGGGACTCCCCGGTCTCGCCGTCCTTATAAGGGCCGAGCCGGGTAAGCCAGTGGCGCGGCCCAGGAGCTTCCAGACCGCTGCCCTTGTCAGGGCAAGGCTGGTTAGCTGGTGCCGAGATCTGTGCTTGCCAGGGCCAGATCAGTCAGCCTCCCGTAGCCCAGTAGAGGAGGACTGGGGGACAGGACAGAGGGCTTAGTACTAGGGTGGGTTTCCCATAGTACGGGTGAAGGGGCCGATACCCCTTCAACTATTGTATCTGTCCCGGAGTTAATAAACAGTGTGTCTCAACTTCGACATCGTCTCCTCCGCTACTTACTACACATGTATTAACATTGTACGGGATAGCATCTTAAGTAAAACCTCATGTTAAAAAGCGTTGATTGCATTATCTAAACACAAATAGCAGAGTGCTTTGACCCATAACCGACCACACACAGCTTAATTCGTGCACAAACATTGTTCTGGTTGGAGATTTCGTTTTTTCTAAATATTTGTTGACATACTTTGATTGACTGTCTCCAAATGTTGGCTTATTTGAATCTGGCTGGGAGAGGCTTTCCTCTGTCACAGTGTGAAAGTTAAATGTTGGAAATGTAAAAGTCTTTTCAGTTTACAAGGGAAGCTTCTTTGGGCGATGTTTAAAAATTAAGTGTTGTGTTTTCAACAATGTTTTAATGATGATGAATCTTCATAGAGGGTTCATTGCTTTTGTGCATCTGGATCATGTATTTTGAACTTCTTTTACACCGTACGTAGCTAACCATGCTAATTGGAGGTGTGGGGGAAGGACAAAAATGGTAATGTCAGGTGCGTTTGAATTGTATCTGCGCATGAGATGCGTTTCATGAAATGACTTTGTACTGATTATTTATGTTTTTCATATTCCCAGTTAATTGGCTTGCTATCCTTTTTGGAATTATCGTGACCATTCTGGTGTTCATCATTCTGGCGTTCGTCGCTTTCAAGCTGAAATTATTTCCCGGTAAGTGTATAAGATGACGTGAATGAAATAAGATGTCTGGATACTGATTTATTGTTTCAAATAATGTACATTGAAACCTACTTTACAAGTACTAAACTAGAAAAACTCACAAGCATCTCTCGTGCGGATGTAAAGCTACCAACGTCCTGCTTTGTCTGCCATGGTCCCAGTCTCAGTTATCCCAAAGCGCCTGAGAAAATGCGACTTTATTCCAATTTAAAATATGTTAGCCTCGCGATCAACTCGTGGTACAGCAGAGACTCCAATAATCCGCGTCGAGATGGGGAGACCTCTTCACGAATCCCCTCGCCTACGGCGCACCGCGGAGGTTCTGTTGCGGATTAACAGAGGAATTGGCCGCACGACCACGTTAGCCCAAAGTGTAGCACATCTGCTAGATGGCTCAATGTTTTAGGTTTTTATTTATTTCATATTTTGGAGAACTTTTTAAAAAAATATATGAATAGGTTTTACCCTTTCTGGCAATAAACCAGGAGGTGTTAAGATGTTCAAACACCAAATAGAAACCTTTTTGCAAGGAATCAAGAACTGCATTAACCACACGTACTTGTGGGGAACATGCAAACAAACATGCTCTGATAAAATTTGCATTCTAGATTTGAAGTTTTCATGACTGCAAGGATCCATACTTTTTTTTCCGGTAAAGTCACGTAGGTAAAAAAATATAAAATAAATTAAAATGAAAACAAATAAATTAAATCACGACGTTTCGAAAGCAACACAAGCAACCGTCATCAGGTTTAGACTGCTCTAGCAAAATTACTGAGGCGTGTGAAGAGAGTTATTAAGAGACAACGTGTTTATATAGGGTGTTGGGGGGGGGAGTCAAGGGGTTTGGTGGGGGGGTATGTGGCAGGCCGTGTGGACGGTCGGGCACGGGATTAGCATGAGGTAAGCCGATAGATAACCATCTGTATTCTTTTGTGATGTCAGGGGAGGGGAGTTTGTGCATGGGTCCAGTGCCTGCACGACGAGTGATGGTGGTGTATCAGGCTGGGAGTAAAAAACTGGAAGAAATGGATATGGCTGTAAAATTATAAGGCAGATAAAGTTAGACTTGGTTAATGACATTTCCAATGATTGCTTAATTTAAAACCATCCTCTCGGTTGAAGTTGTGTCTATGTTTGTATATCTGGATGGCTTCATGGACAACTCTTTGGTAGTATCCGGGAGGTTTGCAGAGTACTTTGGTATCGGAGAAAACAATATCATGAGAACCCGCTGTGTTGAAACAATCATCAGCAACGGCCGAAGAATTCGTTCTGCCGTGTTTCAAATCTGACTTGTGCTCACAAATTCGGTCAGAAATATATCGTTTCGTCTCCCCGATATAGCAATCACCACAGGTACAACTCAGTTTGTAAACGCCAGGGTACTGTAAGTCAGGAATGACATCCTTTACGGATGGGATCAGATCACGGATTTTGTGTACTGTATTGAATCGGACCTGGATCTTGTGTTTGTTTAGAATTTTGAAAATCTTTTTGGTAACGCCTGCTATGTATGGCAACGTGATGATTTGATTGGAGTCTCAGGGGGTTGTTTCTGCATGGTGGGAGAAACAGCTTGGCGGATAGCACGGTCCGAGTATCCGTTCATCTTGAGGGCCAGATGTACATATTTTAATTCACTGGCCAGGTGGTGTTGGTCAGAGATGCAGTGGGCCCTATGGTGTAGTGTTTTGATGAGGGAATTCTTTTGAGCCAGGTGGTGGTGGGAATCAGGCTTCAAGTAAGAATCTGTGTGGGTGGCCTTCCTGTAAACAGAATGTCCCAAAGAGCTATTGAGCCTCCTCTCAAACAGAACATCCAAGAATGGTAGCTTGCCATCCTTCTCCACTTCCATGGTAAATTTGATGGATGGGTGGCTGGAATTGATGTGGTCTCGGAATTGGTTCAATGATGGGAGGCCATGTGGCCAAATGACGAAAGTGTCATCCACATATGTCTTCCACAGGGAAGGACGCAGGGTGGATGTCTGGATGGCATCTGTTTCAAATTTCTCCATGAACACATTGGCTATCACTGGTGACAAGGGGGAACCCATAGGGGTACCCTCATTTTTTTGTAAAAGGTACCATTCCAGGTGAAGTACGTGTTGGTGAGGCAGTGCCTAACCAGCGCAGGGACATCCGGGTTCAGTCCATGTTGGACTAAGTCTTTAATTATTATTATGGTGTCAGGCACTGGAACCTTGGTGAACAGAGAGACCACATCAAAGCTGACGAGGACATTGTCAGGAGACAGTACAATGTTTTGACCATAGAGACAAAGTGGTTTGAGTTAAGTACTGATGAGGTGGTCTTGCCAGTGAAGGGAAGCAGAGTATCCGATAAAAAACGGGCTAGTTTGTAGATAGGTGAGTTGATCGTGGACACGATGGGCCGTAGTGGGGTACCTTCTTTATGGATCTTGGAAAGACCATAGAATCTGGGAGGTCTTGCAGCCGACGGTTTTAGGGAGGGCCGTTTGATTGGTTCGATTAGGGAAGTTGAACTAGTGATGATCTTGTTGGTTTTGTATATATTTGCATTGTCTTTGAAACTGATTGACCTACCCCAGAAACAGCCTTCTTTTGGGCCTAGTCTCATCAGTGTCAGATCGGAGAACGCCAAAACGTTAACAGCACAAGGACAATGCACTATCAGGGCATGTATGGCTCAGGGTGAGCAGCACATCTGAACACCTGTTTTATAGAGCAGATAGAGAGATGTGAGGGAGAGAGTGGAGGGCATTAACAAAGGAAGATAGAGGAGAGAGTGAGAGAAGGGTGGCGAGGAAGGGAGATGGAGGAGGGAGGTGAGGGTGGGAGCTGGAGCACGGATGAAGAGATGGAGAGATGGAGAGGAGAGGGCTGGGGAGAAAGTGAAAGGCCATGACACGGAGAGGAAAGAGATGAAGCACAACGGAAAGAGGAGAGCGAGAGAAAGCGGCAAGCGGTGGGAAAGAGGATTAGGGAGAGGCACGAGAGACTGAGACAGTGAATGGAGAGTTGGGAATAAGGAGAGCGAGGGTGAGAGGTGAGAAAGAAACAAGAAGAGGAATAGTGGGAAGGGAAGCAGGAGAGAGTGGAGGGAGGAGAGCACTACAGAGGGAGGGAGCGGTAGAAGAGGGGACAGAGAAACATAAAAACAGACAAGGCGAAAAATTGAGATCAATTGAGATATACGGAACAGAGAAGATGAGAGAAAGGTGAAGAGCGACAGGGCTCTCTGTATTCAATAAAAGTTTTGCTGGCTGGCTGGCTGGCTAGGAGGGACGTGCAGGTTGCAAGTATGATTTTTTTTTATAAATAAGGAATATCTGTCTATAGATTTGATTAGAGTATTAATGATCTCATCATGGTACTTTATTTACAGATCGCTCGACTGAACAGGCTGAAGAAAAATTGAATTTGATTAAGATCCAAGTTCAAGTAAGTGAGGTGGCCCAGAGATTCGTAATGGATATGTCTGAGCATTGTTCTAATACTTTTGTGATCTTGAATTGTATTCATGAGTAGTCATCAGAGATCAAACTAGGTGTGGTGATGTCAAACAAATGAAAGTCCACTCTGCAGGGCTTCATGTCAAAGTTCAGCACTTCAAATGACTTATCTCTAGGCCAGCCTGTCGTCCTCTGACCTGGTGCCTCCATATTCATCGCCTTTCTTCTCGCCTCGTGTGACACGTCAGCTGAGTCAACGTTCAGCTCGTGTCACACGGTTATCCTTCCTACCTTCTTCCTCGTCTCTTTATTGCTGACCTGACTGAGTATCCACTGGTGAATGGAAACTCCACACCACCGCCTGTGGTGTGTGGAGAGTGGCGTTCATCATTTGCAAACTGGGTATGGAGCACCTGTGACTTAATTGTATAACCCAAGTGAAAGCAATATCGGTCGGCACAAATACCTGCCTTTTACCTAAATGTTTTTATTTGTTAATGATAAAATGAAAAGTTAATTTGAACTAGCTTGTGATTCAAACTCAGAAACATGTGCTGATAGACCAATATGTGAGCATCGTATTCAGTCCTATTGAGATAATGCTTTGTTATCTCACTTTTAGAGACCAGAAGAGCAAAATATACGGAATCTCATTCAGGAGAATAAGGAAATCCTGACAGCATGGATCGGAATGGATCCATTCCCTATCCTGGATTACATGGATACGCATTCTCTGATCCCACGGGATGTCTACAATGGAGCCAAGAAAGAGCGTGGACGACACTGTGCAAACTTCTTGCTGTTAGAATGTATTGCTGCTGGTAACAGCCAATGCCAGAAGCTGCTGGAAGCACTCCTTGATGTGCAAGACAGCTACCCTGATATCAAGACATGGCTGATAGACCTGGGTAAATATTTTGTTTACATTCGACTGATAATCATACCTTTTTTACTGTGATGTGTGCGAGCATTTTGATCTCGCTCGTTCTGTGCGGAACATTGCATCCTTCTGTCTTCAATTAATAAAACCTTCGGAAGCCAGACTTGGTTACACCGGAGTTTTGGTTGTGCCAGAAAAGCGTCCCAAAAGTAAACAAAAAAAATGCAATCATAAACCCCCAAAATTGCAGGTGAAACACTCAACGTGAGAACTAAGGTGTGGACAGAAAGATGCAGTGTTGTGTGGTCATTCCACATGAGGATCCAAAGGGCAGATTGCAATGTATTTAACATGTATACTCTTTGGTTCTTTCAGTAAAGTCACGTAGGAATAAAATAAAATAAATTGCGACGTTTCGGGCACAACACAAGCATCCATCATCAGGTGGGAAAGCATGGTCTGCTGCTGAGGCAGGCTGTTTTAAAAGGTTTGAAATTAGTGTAGCTCAAGGGTTATAAAGAAGTGGCCAGGGCGAGTGATGTTAATGTGAGAAATTAGAGGGCACGGAAGTGGCTATGTTAATGTGAGAGATTAGCATTATGTTAATGTGAGAAATTAGAGGGCACGGAAGTGGCTATGTTAATGTGAGAGATTAGCATGATGCTAATGTGAGAAATTAGCATGTAACTGTAGAAAAGAAGGAGAAGAAGAGCGGCCTCCTCGACGAGGGAGTGCAACCCAACGGGTGCAATCCAAAAGACATGCGAACATGAGAGTGCAATCCAAATGCATGAGAGTGCAAAGCAACGGACATGTGAGCATGAGAGATCTAAGAAAGAGGCATAGAGAGAAAAAGACAGAGTCGAAATAACAGCTGACATATGCAGGTTGAATGGAAACATCACAGTTAAGACTTTACCTGGTTAATAACATCCTTCCAATGATTTCTCAGTTTGTACCCATCTTTTCAGTTGAAGTTGTGTCTGTGTTTATATATCTGGATGGCTTCATGAACAAATCTCTGAAGGTAGCCGGTAGGTTTGCAGAGTACCTCCGTCTTGGAAAAATCAGTTAAAACAATGATCGGCAACGGCAGAGGTATTGGTCCTACCATGTTTCAGATCCGCCTTTTGTTCACGGATGCGGTCTGAGACATGTCGTTTCGTTTTCCCAATGTAACTGCTGCCGCAAGCACAGCTCAGTTTGTAGAAACCAGGGTATTGCATGTCAGGAATCACATCTTTTACAGATGGGATTAAATCACAGATTTTGTGTATTGTATTGAAACGAACCTGGATCTTGTGTTCGTTTAAGATTTTGGAAATATTTTTGGTAATCACTGCTATGTACGGTAAAGTGATGGTTTTGGTTGTATCCTCAGAAGGTTGTCTCCGCATGGCTGGGGAGACAGCTTTGCGGATTGTACGGTCCGAGTATCCGTTCATCCTGAGGGCTTGGTGTACGTCCTCCAACTCACTGGCTAGGTGGTGCTGGTCGGAGATGCATGGTGTAGTGTTTTGATGAGGGAATTCTTCTGGGCTGGATGGTGGTGGGAGTCAGGCTTTAGATAGGCATTCGTGTGGGTGGCTTTCCTGTAGACCAAATGTCCCAACGAGCCATCAGGTCTCTTCTCGATCAAAACATCCAGGAATGGTAGCTTGCCATCATTTTCCACTTCCATGGTGAATTTGATAGACGGGTGTATGGAATTGATGTGGTTGAGAAATTGATTCAGTGCTGGCAGGCCATGTGACATCTGGCTACATGGCCTACCAGACCACGTGAAGTTTCGAACGCCCGCTGGCAGGAGGTCACGGGGCAGACCCAGGTGCCACGGGTCGACTGACTGAGATGACTGAGACGACTGGCTGATGCACCACCTGTGCCCCCTATTGTGCCAACTTGCTGTGCTTTAGCCACCCGGCGCTCCGCTCATTGTTGTGAGCTTCGCTCCTTCGCCCTCTGTTGTTGTTGAAGGGCAACTGCCTCCAACTGCCCAGTAGCGTCCTTCACGAGTCTCTTCCACAGAGGCCGATCTTGACACCGCTGGTACCAGTCATGGGCAAGTCCACTCAGCTCCACATCCTCCTGTATCACATCACTCTATCTCTTCTCTAGCCTGTGCCGTGCTCGTTTAGCCCCCTCTATCCGACCGAACAAAAGCTGTTTAGGCATGCGGTTGCTGGGCATGCGGGCTACATGACCCAGCCATCACAGCAGCGCCTCCAACTCCTCTGAGTGAGCAGCAATTACCAGATCATCGGCATACATAACATGGTTGACCAATAGTGAGCCATCCCTTGCCCGCACCCGGGCATCGATGAGCCTCCCATTATATCTGTACCAGATGGAAATTCCTCCAGTACAGCCATCAAAGGCTTCACGAACTACGTGGTCGAAATAGATGTTAAATAATGTGGGAGCCAGAGGACATCCCTGTCGCACCCCAAGGTGAACAGGGAATGGCTCCAACTCCCGGCCACATAGTTTTACCCAGGCCCGCTCACCATCATGAAGGTCCTTAATGATCGTGAGCAGCGGATCAGGGACTCCGAAACCATGAAGAGCAACCCAGAGCCCAGGCCTACTGATGGTATCACGACCAGGTCAATAAAGCAGAGATGTAGGTCTTGTTGGAATTCACTACACCTCTTCTGTAGCAGACGGACAGAAAATATGGCATCTGTGCAGGACCACCCCTTCCTGAAACCGCATTGGGGCTCCGCAAGCCTCTCCTCAGCGTGCCTGGCAAGGCAATGTTAAATAATCCTTGCCAGGACCTTTCCCGGCACACTGAGGAGTGAGATGCTTCTGTAGTTGTTACAGTCTGTGTGGCCCCCCTTCTTTGTGATTGCGGGCCATTGAGGCAGACGCCATCTCCTCAGCAACCTGCGACCACCACCCATCCTTGCAGCGCCTCACGGCTCTCCGAACCTCCGAGCAAAGGCTGCGGTATGCGTCATTCTCTGATGTGGGATGCTGTAGACGATGAGAGTGGGTCTGTCGTTTTTTCTCAGCCAGCCTGAACACCTCTGTCAGCCAGGGTCTCTTTGGAGGTCTGGACCATGTACCCAAAGCAGCCATTGCAGCTGCATGAGCCACAGTCCTAAACCTTGCACATTTCCCCTCGACATCAGGAGTGGGGGACGATGCCAACCCCAGCCGCAAGCAATGATGAAATTCTCGCTTGCAATTTTCATCAGCTAGCTGAGACCAGGCCACTATGGGTTTGAATGGGGTCCTTGGTGTACTCCTAAAACCGGAGTGGAAGAGTGGCAGGCGCATCTTACAGATCACAAGTCCATGGTCAGTGGGTAGATCAGCTCCACGGTAGGTCCTGGTATCAAGGACATGGGCCCGCATCCACTGTTCCGTCACCTTGTAGGCCAGCAGATGTTCTTGCTTGGACCCGGCATGCATCCATGATGTTGTGTGGATGCGCCGATGCCGGAACAGCGTGTTGGTAATTACAAATCCTAGGGCTGCACAAAAATCTAGCAGCCTCCTACCATTGTTAATCAGCTGATCTGGTCCATGCCTTCCAATCAATCTAGACCAGGTGCCAGCATCATGACCAATCCGGGCATTAAAATCGCCCAAAAAGATGACTCTATCCCGAGGGGTCACTTTAGCTAGCACCTGTGACAGGAGGTCATAGAAGGCATCTGACTCATCGGCCTTGCCTGCATCCCTCCACGGATGTTCGTCTTCGGTGGGGGCATAAGTAACCACGGCCACCACTCCTCGTCTCTGGTTGATTGGAAGGCGAGCCCAAAGTAGCCTGGGGCTTGCAGCTTCCCACACCTCACCGCCACGCTCCCACACCCCCTTCACTCCCGAATGTTTGGCAGTCTCCTGCCCCGAGTAGAGGAGCCAGAGCCGGTCCACCGGACCTCCTGAATACCACAGAGATCCAGGCAGTACCAGTCCAGCTCCCGACAGAGGAGTAGCAGCCTCTCCGCAGTGAGCGTTCGAACATTCCACGTGGTCACCTGCAATGGTTTTTTGTTTTTTTCTGAAACCCCGAGGGTAAGGATTCAATCTCCTGGCTCCACCAAGTGGGGTTTGGCCAGGAGACGTCATAGACGCCTGTCCCCCCAGGGCCTCCAGTACAAGCTTAATTAAAGTTTTAATTCGTGGTTTTCGTGGTAAGTAATTGAAGGTGGAGAGGTTAGCAGCCCCTTGCACCCATCCAGAGCCCCCTTTTACCGCTGTGGTGGCTACAAATGCCATGAGGGGAATGGCCAAAATAAATTGGCCCTCCTCCCATGGCACTGCTCACCACAGTGTTGCCGTCTGGCACCGATGAGGAGGTGGGGGGTGTTTTGCCGGACAACAAACACGCAGACAGACAGACCGTGTCACTGATATACCAGATAAATACACGCAGACAAACACCGTGTCACCGACACGCAGAGTCATGCGCTATCACGAACACACGCGCACCACCCAACACAAATGTGCACAGTCACACGTTGATAACTTGAACAACTCAATACAAATAAGTCAGTGCGCTCACCACACCTGTAACGCAATGCACGTTATCGCAACAAATTCAACAGCTATGCCCACAGCTGCAACAGCTCTTGCAAAGCAGCATACTTACTCAGCTGCAACACTCGCGAAACGAGCACGGTCATGGGAAAACAGTGAGGAGGAATGAACCACCAACGGACAACGGTTGGGAAAAAGTTTCTTGATTCAGAGCCCACGCATCACAAACACCGCTGTTTTAACACCCGAGGTGTCAACCTCCGACAGCCTCCCTGTGTAGCTGGACAACTGCATGACGCTTTCCGCGAGACCCTAGCTACCAAATCCTTGGCCACTGATGGAGAATGTTTATGTGGGCATCGTGCGGTCACATGAAACAATATTTGTCCTGCCTCTGCAGCTCCGATTAGCATGGTTGGCTACGTACGGTGTTAAAGAAGTTCAACGTACATACATAATTGGTCAGATCATTACGTGGCCAAACTAAGTCAATTATGAATTTTAGTTTCTATATTAAGCACTGCGCATGGGAGACAAGAATATAGCCCCTTTAAAATAATGTCGTGCAACAAACACAGTATTCCCTTATGTGTCGAGGGCTAATGCTGGTCCTAGATGCATGAAAGTAATCATGTGTGTTCAATTACGAGTTTGTGAAATTAACTTAATGCACCACAATTTGGATTTATGAAGCATCTGACCACGACCGCACCTCGGGATGATGTACAAACAGGTGGAGCGTGCCCATTTGACCAATGCGGTACATATGGAACATTTGTCTTAAGCTTTGATTGACTCCATCTGGAACCGTACCACGATTAACGATATCTGCGTTGTGCATTCACTCTCCCCGCCAACCTAAATCCCACAGACATCAAGCGGCTGATTCCAACGTTCGAGGGAATCGTCTGCAAGAAGGTTCGCAGAGCGAAACCTGACCTCAAGCACTGGATCGGTGTGGAGACTCAACCCCTCGTGGAGCATATGAAGAGGCAGAACTCCATGATGATGCAACAAATCCCTGACAACTTGTCAACATCCTCTGATCTCATTGACTTTGTCATTGATAATGGGGAGGAGTTCTGTGGGGCACTGGTGTCTGCCTTAAAGGATCTGCCAAATCAGTATCCAAATGCCCAGCCTTGGCTGCAACTGTCCCAGAAATGATCTAAAATGCCGCTGTGAGAATTATAAGCTCAAAATCGAATCCCGAATCGATTTAAATATCTAACTCGCAGTCTTTAAGATCCTCCATGCCAACGTTTCTCAGAGTATCTCTCTACTCCACGCACTCTCCTACCTCTCTCTACTCCACGCACTCTCCCACCTCTCTCTACTCCACTCCACGCACTCTCCTACCTCTCTCTACTCCACACACTCTCCCACCTCTCTCCACTCCACGCACTCTCCTACCTCTCTCCACTCCACGCACTCTCCCACCTCTCTCTACTCCACGCACTCTCCTACCTCTCTCTACTCCACACACTCTCCTACCTCTCTCTACTCCACGCACTCTCCTACCTCTCTCTACTCCACACACTCTCCCACCTCTCTCTCTACTCCACACACTCTCCCACCTCTCTCTACTCCACGCACTCTCCCACCTCTCTCTACTCCACGCACTCTCCTACCTCTCTCTACTCCACGCACTCTCCTACCTCTCTCTACTCCACACACTCTCCTACCTCTCTCTACTCCACGCACTCTCCTACCTCTCTCTACTCCACGCACTCTCCCACCTCTCTCTACTCCACGCACTCTCCTACCTCTCTCTACTCCACGCACTCTCCTACCTCTCTCTCTACTCCACGCACTCTCCCACCTCTCTCTACTCCACGCACTCTCCTACCTCTCTCTACTCCACGCACTCTCCTACCTCTCTCTACTCCACGCACTCTCCTACCTCTCTCTCTACTCCACTCCACGCACTCTCCTACCTCTCTCTACTCCACGCACTCTCCCACCTCTCTCTAATCCACTCCACGCACTCTCCCACCTCTCTCTACTCCACGCACTCTCCTACCTCTCTCTACTCCACGCACTCTCCTACCTCTCTCTCTACTCCACTCCACGCACTCTCCTACCTCTCTCTACTCCACGCACTCTCCCACCTCTCTACTCCACTCCACGCACTCTCCTACCTCTCTACTCCACACACTCTCCTACCTCTCTCTACTCCACTCCACGCACTCTCCTACCTCTCTACTCCACGCACTCTCCCACCTCTCTCTACTCCACGCACTCTCCTACCTCTCTCTACTCCACACACTCTCCCACCTCTCTCTCTACTCCACGCACTCTCCCACCTCTCTCTACTCCACGCACTCTCCTACCTCTCTCTACTCCACGCACTCTCCTACCTCTCTCTACTCCACGCACTCTCCTACCTCTCTCTCTACTCCACTCCACGCACTCTCCTACCTCTCTCTACTCCACTCCACGCACTCTCCTACCTCTCTCTACTCCACGCACTCTCCCACCTCTCTCTACTCCACGCACTCTCCTACCTCTCTCTACTCCACTCCACGCACTCTCCCACCTCTCTCTACTCCACGCACTCTCCTACCTCTCTCTACTCCACGCACTCTCCTACCTCTCTCTACTCCACTCCACGCACTCTCCTACCTCTCTACTCCACACACTCTCCCACCTCTCTCCACTCCACACACTCTCCCACCTCTCTCTACTCCACGCACTCTCCTACCTCTCTCTACTCCACGCACTCTCCTACCTCTCTCTACTCCACTCCACGCACTCTCCCACCTCTCTCTACTCCACGCACTCTCCTACCTCTCTCTACTCCACGCACTCTCCTACCTCTCTCTACTCCACTCCACGCACTCTCCTACCTCTCTACTCCACACACTCTCCCACCTCTCTCTACTCCACGCACTCTCCCACCTCTCTCTACTCCACGCACTCTCCTACCTCTCTCTACTCCACACACTCTCCTACCTCTCTCTACTCCACGCACTCTCCTACCTCTCTCTACTCCACACACTCTCCCACCTCTCTCTACTCCACGCACTCTCCTACCTCTCTCTACTCCACACACTCTCCTACCTCTCTCTACTCCACGCACTCTCCTACCTCTCTCTACTCCACACACTCTCCTACCTCTCTCTACTCCACGCACTCTCCTACCTCTCTCTACTCCACACACTCTCCCACCTCTCTCTACTCCACGCACTCTCCTACCTCTCTCTACTCCACACACTCTCCTACCTCTCTCTACTCCACACACTCTCCCACCTCTCTCTACTCCACGCACTCTCCTACCTCTCTCTACTCCACTCCACGCACTCTCCCACCTCTCTCTACTCCACGCACTCTCCTACCTCTCTCTACTCCACTCCACACACTCTCCCACCTCTCTCCACTCCACACACTCTCCCACCTCTCTACTCCACGCACTCTCCTACCTCTCTCTACTCCACGCACTCTCCTACCTCTCTCTACTCCACGCACTCTCCTACCTCTCTCTCCACTCCACACACTCTCCCACCTCTCTCTACTCCACGCACTCTCCCACCTCTCTCTACTCCACGCACTCTCCCACCTCTCTCTACTCCACGCACTCTCCTACCTCTCTCTACTCCACTCCACGCACTCTCCCACCTCTCTCTACTCCACGCACTCTCCCACCTCTCTACTCCACTCCACGCACTCTCCCACCTCTCTCTACTCCACGCACTCTCCTACCTCTCTCTACTCCACTCCACGCACTCTCCTACCTCTCTCCACTCCACACACTCTCCCACCTCTCTCTACTCCACACACTCTCCCACCTCTCTCTACTCCACGCACTCTCCTACCTCTCTCTACTCCACACACTCTCCCACCTCTACTCCACGCACTCTCCTACCTCTCTCCACTCCACGCACTCTCCCACCTCTCTCTACTCCACACACTCTCCCACCTCTCTCTACTCCACACACTCTCCCACCTCTCTACTCCACACACTCTCCTACCTCTCTCTACTCCACACACTCTCCTACCTCTCTCCACTCCACGCACTCTCCCACCTCTCTCTACTCCACACACTCTCCCACCTCTCTACTCCACACACTCTCCCACCTCTCTCTCTACTCCACTCCACGCACTCTCCCACCTCTCTACTCCACGCACTCTCCTACCTCTCTCTACTCCACACACTCTCCCCCCTCTCTACTCCACACACTCTCCCACCTCTCTACTCCACACACTCTCCCACCTCTCTCTCTACTCCACTCCACGCACTCTCCCACCTCTCTACTCCACGCACTCTCCTACCTCTCTCTACTCCACACACTCTCCCACCTCTCTACTCCACACACTCTCCCACCTCTCTACTCCACACACTCTCCCACCTCTCTCTCTACTCCACTCCACGCACTCTCCCACCTCTCTCTACTCCACACACTCTCCTACCTCTCTCTCCTCCACGCACTCTCCCACCTCTCTACTCCACACACTCTCCCACCTCTCTCTCCTCCACGCACTCTCCCACCTCTCTCTACTCCACGCACTCTCCCACCTCTCTCTCTACTCCACTCCACGCACTCTCCCACCTCTCTACTCCACACACTCTCCCACCTCTCTACTCCACACACTCTCCCACCTCTCTCTACTCCACACACTCTCCTACCTCTCTCTCCTCCACGCACTCTCCCACCTCTCTCTACTCCACACACTCTCCCACCTCTCTACTCCACACACTCTCCCACCTCTCTCTACTCCACACACTCTCCTACCTCTCTCTCTCCTCCACGCACTCTCCCACCTCTCTCTACTCCACGCACTCTCCCACCTCTCCCATCTCATCTGACCTCACTCCCTTATGTGCATTCTACATCCTAGCAGCTGAGACTTCCATTCTGTCAAAGCCTCCAGTCAACCTTTGTTCAGTGGGAGGTCGCTCTTTATCCTCTGCTGCCCCCAAGGTCTGGAACTGCCTTCCCCCATCCCGCACACGCCACTACTTGCCCCTGCTCAGGTCCAGACCCAACACTCTGCTTTGTTTCCACATCCAATAGCTGCCTATCAAATAAACATGCTCGCTGTTTCTGTACAGTGCCTTGGGATGCAGGTGCATGAAGGCACTGCATATTGAATGCTCTGGGTTCGAGTGCTATGGATGGGTCTCTCTCCCAAATTGTGTCAGTGCATCTATCTGAATATTATATAGTAGTCCTAGCAGTCGCTAAGCCATCGATGGGGCTGTGGTTTCAAACGTTCCTGCCAGGCCTACTGGATAGGCTTCATGTCCACATCATCTACCACGATGATAATCTGTGAGTAGCACCATGCTGAGCGTCAGAGTCCTGGGTTATGTTTCTGAGCTCCCAACTTGAGTTAAATGAAGCGATGGTATCTGGTATGCCTGATACCATCTGTTTCATCACTAAAGCCTGCGGCCATTGTGTTTTTAATTCTTAATGTTAGTTAATGGGTGGTATGTTCCATGTACATTGTCTTAAAAGTTACTGTAGTGGAATTTTTTCTAAATATATCGTATGTTCTTTATCTATTACGTGTTTTAAGTTAAGTTTATCGGTGCATATTTCTCTATAGAACTTTGTTGTACAGTTTGTTCTCCTGTAACGCTGCGTTTTCATAATGCAAATTGTATAGAACACAATTTGCGTGAACAGAACCACGTAGCGCGAGTAGGAATAAGCGGTCGTACGGCTGCCTCGGCGTCGCGTCATCGCCACACGAGGCATTGGGATGCTGCTAGATGCTTCTAGATGCTAGCCACGCCTCGGTGATTGTTCAGCCTGCATACGCATCTCGCGTGTTATCGCCGACCGCTTTATTTATGAAACGCGATTTTCCCATTACGCGGTGTTCGTCAGAAACGCAACCACTAGCGCGTTATAGGAGAGCAGACTACTCTGAAAATATTGGTGCAAAAGTGGCCATGGTGCTGAGAAGATCGGTGCCCCTGTGATGAATCTGACTGCTCAGGTTTACTGATGTGATGGTCTCAGCTCGGTCACCAACAACTGCCCATGAAAAAAAAACATTACACCAAATTTCATTACGCACTTAATTTGGGAATATTCCAGCTCTGAAAGTTGAAAAGAGAGTTGACGGTCATGCAGTGAACATTACTCTCATGTGGCAGGGCAGATGAGAAAGCGATATCCCATAGTGTGTAGACCAAGGTCACTTGAAGCGATCTCGGAGGTGGCTCTATGGTATCTGCTTCTTTGCGCCATTCACGAACACAACACGTCACACTCTGGTGTGAGAGATCAAACTAGATCATTTGTGTTCGTCACTTGACAATGTGAGCACAATTGGGATAACATCGAGGGAAAAAGAAAAACTATTTAAAATGTGCCATATTGTAAGTTATATCATTTATTACTAATCGATTGTTTATTTCGCGAATGCTGTTACACGTGACTTCCACACGGTTAGAGCACCAGATACACAAGGAAACAAGCATTAAGTCCGTATTATGTCGACGTTCTTATCAGTGGACGTCAGCCCACGTGGCCACAGAGCCACGTGACGGCCTCCTCCTCCAACGCGTGCAGGACAACAACGACCAGAGGCAGCGCGCCCGCACGCCGTGGCGCGCTTCACTCTCTTCAGTGGTGTCCAGTGGTGCTGTGGGCCACGATCCATCCACAATGGGTACTTAGTAAGGTCATTTATAGTCGCGTGGTTTTCACCTGCTTTGAATCTCCACGTCGACGCATTTATATCATCATTCAGCTGTGTGTGCTTCTTTGTATTTTTGTACTTTAATAAACTTCCCACAATCCCAGTGTTCACCTGTTGTTCCTGCTCGCTGCTGCCAGGCTCTTCACGCACCGTCAAGAAGACTTCTCGGGCACACGCCAAAGACAACAATCCCCCATCGCCCCGGTGTCACTGACAGATACTGGAATACAACTGGAAAACAGCAGAAAATACATTCCCAAGGGCAGGTGCTGAAGTTGCGTTGGGATCAATGTGCATTCAAATCAGTATACCAGTGTGCTATGACGTCTATCATGAACGTGGACAGTGACGAAGAAAATCAGAAGACAAGCAGCATGGATGAGGGAGCAGTGACCAGCTCAGACATCGTACTGGGGGCTTGGACCGGACACGACCTATAGAGGGGACCGTGCGCTCGAGACGAGCGACAGAGCGGCGGCCAAAGGAACTCGCCCCAGTGAGACCCCAGTGGAGATGGAGCGATGAAATGAGCTGGCACGTGGGAGCTGGATGGATTTTTCCATTGTTTATTTAGCTGGGTGGATTGTTTCGACAAGTTCCCTATTCCTGTAAACACGCGAGGCAGCAGGTACCGATACCCACGAAGTAATAAACTCTGCGCATCACTGCTGGACGAAGGAACCCCCCGCACCGCGTGGGTTGCGGGGCCCTGCAGACCGTACATACTTCCCCGCGCTGGTCAGCGTGGGTCAGGGGAAACGTGCGAGAGCACAGAAAGTACCGTACAACACTGGGTTGTGCTGCCCACGTGGCTTCTCCTGGCTGCATGTCGGGGCACGGCAGTGAACCGCGCGCGACTTCTTTAGACTACTCAGCTGACCCCTCCACCCCCCGGACGCCGTCCAACGAGACCGGGCACATTCCCGGGATTCGGCGAAGAGGGCAGTTCGGCCTCTGCTGATAAGGTCGCTCCGTATAAAGCCATCGTACCGGTTTCACAAGGTTACGGCGATACCCCTACCCTTTGAATAGATTTCTCGACACAATCACTGCCGGTCACTGAAACACATTGTTACTGGTAGGAACCACCTGGTTCCACCAGCCTATAGGGGATTATTGTATCCGTCCGTCCGTCGTGCAGGGAGGGGCTGGGTGGGGAGGGTGGGGTGGGGCTGGGTGGGGTGTGGGAGGGGTGGGGCTGGGTGGGGAGGGGCTGGTCACCCCATGGTGCCCTTACAAAACTCAACGTTTAACCTACTCACGCAGGCTTGTGCCCGCCCTCACAGTCGGGCATATTTGCGGAATAATTCTAGAATTGAAGCTTTCGTGACTGCAAGGATTCATACTCTTAGGTTTTTTCGGTAAAGTCACGTATGTAAAAAATATAATTAAAAGTAATAAAAGTAATAATATAAATAAAATAATAAATCACGACGTTTCGGAGACAACACAAGTCTCCGTCATCAGGTGGGACCGTCACAGCTAGATTTACTGCATCAAGTGAATTTAGCTGTGACGGTCCCACCTGATGACGGAGACTTGTGTTGCCTCCGAAACGTCGTGATGTATTATTTTATTTATATTATTACTTCTATTAATTTTTATTTTATGTTTTACCTACGTGACTTTACCGAAAAAACCTAAGAGTATTTGCGGAATACACCACGCCGCCATTGACCCTGGCCATTGACCGAGCAACCCAACGTTCCTACCAGCTCCCTCCGCATGACAATGTGTTTCACTGCAGACTTTTTTCAGTCCACCGCAGGAGGCCTCCAAAACCGTTTGGGTCATGGCAGGTGTCAGACCAAACTTCGCCACGTCGGTCCGTGCTGGTTGCTGAAGGGGTGGGGCCCGTGACCTGCTCAGATTCCACTCGCCCACCGATCCTCCCCGTGGTCGGGAATCGAACTCGGGTGGCCGGGTTCTGAACGCTGAGCGATAACCGCTACATCGCAACTCCAGTGAGTCGTGACGAACCACAGATTCTGCTCTGACCATCAAGCGGTCTGTAGTCGTCTCACGGGCAAGCTACCGTGGGTGTAATTGTATGTACTGTATGTATGTTAAACTTCTTTCGCGCCGTACGTAGCCAACCGTGCCAAGCGGAGGTGTGGTGGAAGGACAACAAACTTCACACAAAAAGCAGTTCTAAAGAAATGAGTTTGTCAATGTAGATGATTTCAAAGTGCACAGTGATGTTGGTTCACAGGTGTTGTCACCACATCTACGCCTATATTTAAGGAACGAAACTAGTGGACTTCACCAATCTGGCTGCTGTCCGCCTGATGAAGCTGGTTGTAATTACTGGCGAAACGTCGTACTCAGATTGTAAATGTTGTGGCTTGGCTCTGCAACACACAACCGGTTCGTGCTGTCCTCATGACGAATTGGCCACGTTCTGTATACGTGACAACTCTTACTGGTTGGCTGTGTCGGGTGGTGGCGGGTTTAACGACACATTTATATATTTACGCGATCTAATCTAAAAAAACTGTATTATGGTTTATACTCCTTGCCGAGATCAGCGAGGGATGGTGGTTTATTTGCGACAAGCGCTTTGTGTGTGGTGAGTGCGACCTTCCATGGATTCGTTCGGCAACCGAAAGCCAACGCAGCTCGGCACGCACCGCACGGACACGAACTTGCAGCGCGGAGGTCGCGGGTTGACCTCCTCGCGCCAGAGGTCAACGTCGGTGCGAGCCTCTCGCAACCGCGGGGCCGTGTCCCCCCAGCGGTGTTCATGGGCGACGCCGCAGTCGATGGGAAACAAGCGTAGCGGAGCTGCTATGCTGAGAGTCTAACAAACACGCTGGGAGCGATCTCGAGTCGACATGTCAGCACAGAAAAGCACTACGACCATGGCAGTACAATATGATACGTTTGTGGGAAACTGCTAACGCGATGGTATTGTCGTCTTTTTTCCTCCTAATGACGATCGATTGTGTTGTGATCGTAACGTCGTAATCTTTTGTTATCTACGTGACGTTACCGAAAGACCGAAAGACCCAGAGAACTCTTGCTTTAGTTCCTCTTTCGTTTCGTTTGCCCTTCCGCCCAGCAGCATGCAGGCTGAGTGAACGCAGTGACTCCCACCAGGTTTTAAAGTGATGTATAACTCCACGGCGTGAGCACAAAAACAACATTTTACACACACACACAGATCTCTGCTGCTGCTGCATCACAAGACACGAGGCGCGGGTCTCGGGGGAGGCTGCGGTCGATCGTCGCAGGGTCACCGATGCGGCCGTGGGGGTCACCGAGGCAGGCGACTCGCGGACCGCGCGATGCAGGGAGGAGCATGGGCGAGGTGGAGAGCCGTCGTCTCGCTCGCCCTCGGGGTGAGTCGCCCCCCAAGGCTCAACCTCGTCGCACTCGTCACCTCGTCGTCTTGCCAGTTGTATAAATGTGCGATGTGTGTCGGACTTTGTTCGCGCCGTGCGGAGCCGGCCGCGCGAGAAGCGGAGATGAGAATGTGGCAGCTGCTGTGCCGGACTCCTGAGCTGAAGAGGGAGACACACACAGACATAGACACACACACAGACACACATACACACACACAGACACACACATACACACACACACAGACACACAGACACACACACACACACACACAGACACACACAGATACACACACACAGATACACACACAGACACACACACAGACACACACAGACACACACACACACAGACACACAGACACACACAGACACACACAGACACACACACAGACACACACACACAAAGACACACACACAGACACACACACAGACACACACACACACAGACACACACACAGACATAGACACACACGCACAGACACACATACACACACAGACACACAGACACACACACACAGACACACACAGACACACACACAGACACACACAGACACACACACAGACACACACAGAGACACACACACAGACACACATACACACACACAGACACACAGACACACACACAGACACACAGACACACACAGACACACACACACAGACACACACACACAGACACACACACAGACATAGACACACACACAGACATAGACACACAGACACACACAGACACACACACACACAGACACACACAGAGACACACACACAGAGACATAGACACACACACAGACACACGCACAAACATAGACACGCACAGACACGGAGAGACACGGAAACACACAGACACACGCACAGACACACACACGCACAGACACGCACAGACATAGACAGACACACATAGACACGCACAGACACACACACACAGACAGACACACACACACAGACACACACAGACACACACACAGACATAGACACGCACAGACACGGAGAGACACGAAGACACACAGACACACGCACAGACACACACACGCACACACACGCACATACACACACAGACGCACACACAGACACACACACAGACACGCACAGACACACACGCATAGACACGCACACACAGACACACGCACAGACACACACAGACACACGCACAGACACACACAGACACACACACAGACACGCACAGACACACACACACACGCATAGACACGCACACACAGACACACGCACAGACACACACAGACACACGCACAGACATAGACACGCACAGACACGGACACGCACAAACACAGACACACGCACAGTGGATGAGTGAGTGAGTGGATGAGTGGGTGGGTGGGTGGATGAGTAGGTGGATGAGTGAGTGAGTGGATGAGTGGGTGGGTGGATGAGTGGGTGGGTGAGTGGGTGGGTGAGCGGGTGGGTGAGCGGGTGGGTGGATGAGTGGGTGGATGAATGGGTGGGTGGATGAGTGGGTGGATGAATGGGTGGGTGAGTGGGTGGGTGAGTGAGTGGGTGGGTGAGTGGGTGGATGGGTGAGTGAGTGGGTGGATGAATGGGTGGGTGAGTGGGTGGGTGAGTGGGTGAGTCAGCGGGTGGGTGAGCGGGTGGGTGAGTGGGTGGGTGGGTGGATGGGTGAGTGAGTGGGTGAGTAAGTGGGTGAGTGGGTGGATGAATGGGTGGATGAGCGGGTGGGTGAGCGGGTGGGTGAGTGGGTGGGTGGGTGGATGGGTGAGTGAGTGGGTGAGTAAGTGGGTGAGTGGGTGGATGAATGGGTGGATGAGCGGGTGGGTGAGCGGGTGAGTCAGCGGGTGGGTGAGTGGGTGGGACTGTTGTTCTAGATTTGAAGCTTTCGTGACTGCAATGATTCATATTCTTAGGTTTTTTCGGTAAAGTCACGTAGGTAAAAAACATAAAAAAGTTAAATAAAATAAAAATCACGACGTTTCGGAGGCAACGCAAGCTTCCGTCTTCAGGTGTTACCTACGTGACTTTACCGAAAAAACCTAAGAATATGGGACTGTTGTTGTTGTCTTGATGTGGTCTGGGACTGTTGTGGTTGTTTTGCTGCCTTGCCCACTCGCATTTAGTCTTGAAACATTGGCAGGAATTAATATACGATTGCGATTTGTAAATGAGTGAGTATTTAGTTTCAGTGATGTGCACAACTTCCTTATACCTCGCGCTCCTGCCGTGTTTTTGTATCGTTGTTGTTGTAACTTTCTGACAAACCCTCATTGGACATCGGTGATAAAGAGCTTCATAGCTCTTCGGATTCCTCCAGGACAAACAGATTCTGAGTCACCCCGCGCGGTGTCGGCGGGGCTCGATCGATCATCGTCTCCCCAGGTCCGCGCAGGTTGGCCGATCGATACAGCAGGGAGCCCGCAACCGCCACTGCGTGCACCCAGCCCACAGGGTGCACACAGAGTTCAGTGCGCTAACTACTGCGCCACTACTCCACCCACAATTCAAATTTGTCGTTAAACTCTCCTCGACCTTTGCGACTGCAACCGCCGCCACCAAACCCCCACCCCGCCCGCCCGGTCCCGACTTGCACGCCCCATGCTGCCCTGCTGCCCGTGCTGCCCGCGCTGCCGTGCTGCCCGTGCTGCCCCCCCCCCACCTCCTGTGTTTGTGTCCCGGAGGAATCCGATGAGCTGCGAAGCGCTTTCCCACAGATGCCGGAATGAATGACGTCATCGAAATCGATCGGCAGGTCGCGTGCGGTGGGTTAAAGTGTGGGCGCCTCCACCTCTTCAAGGCGTCTGAAGAGCGTGGAAGAGTAGGCCAACTCTCCTCTGTAGAGGGCCTCTTGGAGGCCCTTCCTCCGGCGGTGGTGTGAGCGAGGCAGTTGCGGGGCTGCACCTTTGCAACGTTGTTGACCATTTGGTCTTTAGGCGCCGTAAAGATGTAGAATGAGTCCGTGAAGTCATCGTCCCTCCATATTTCTCGGGACTCGCTGCTGTTGCCCCACGGTGATTCCGCTGTCGCCACCCAGGTGTCGCAGTGGTTGGGTGCCACTGCTCAAAGCATCACGGCGTTGTGACTGGAGCCATCGTCCCACACGCGCTGTTCACTCACAACGGATGTTTGAAATGCCCATGCCCTGTACACATTGAGCCGTGACTGTTTTGTGACGTTTTTGTTTTTCTTTCCAGATTGTATTCTTCACCAGGCTGGTGTCTTGTCAAGCCTGCAGTGCAGAATTCTACAAAACGAGTAACAACATCTGTTGCAAGCTATGCCGTGCAGGTAAATCAATCGTACATTTTACCATGTTAGGGTTCATAATAAAGGTCGGTTTGGGTTAGATCGCATAAATGTGATCTAACCCAAACCTGCCACCACCCGACACAGCCAATTAGTAAGGTTTGTCACGTAAACAGAACATGCCAATTCGTCACTAGTACAGCACAACCGATTGTGTTGGAGAGCCAAGCCACAACATTGATAGGTCGTGTTTGGGTTGTTAAACAACAACAGCAGCAGCAAAACAAACCGGTCGACCGGCTTCCTTCTCTACATGAGTCACGTTCTCTCTCAAAGACGTTGGTGATCACAGCCTCCTGCCATTCAGCTCTGAGACCCACAGACTCACAGAGAGGCCTACAGACTCACATAGATACCCACAGACTCACAGAGTCCTACAGACTCGCATAGACACCCACAGACTTGCATAGATACCCACAGACTAATATAGAGGCACAGACTCACATACAGACCCACAGACTCACATAGATACCCACAGACTAATATAGAGACACAGACTCACATAGAGACCCACAGACTCACACGGACACCCATAGACTCGCAGCTTTCACATCCACACAAGAGATCAGACTTCCTATCTAGCACTGAAGTATTCTAATTCTTGTTGTGAATAATAATATACTTTATATAGAGATGCCATTTTCTATTGTTCTCTTTATCGCTGTGACGCGCCTTGCGGCTACTGTTACCACGCCTCCTAAAGAGTTAATTGGCTCCCACACCACCTGCTGGTTGTGGACGTCACAGACTTGTGTTTGACATTGCAGCTTGAACCTCTTCACTGGTATGAACAAACACCCTGTGTGTATATACAGTGGATTGTTCATCCTTTATTTAACTTCCTAACATTATTTTTACCCGGCGTATTTTGCAAATCGCTCTCAGATTCTGCAACTAATGCAATGCCATCGGCATGTCTCAGGTCATTGACATTTTGACCACCATCTTCCACTCCATGCAACTCCTCTGTCACTCTCAGCATCCTTTCACTACACGGCGAGTCATCGCTTAACGCGTGGCGGTGTTCGCACGACAACACTTTTCGCACAACGCGGAACACACGCCGTTATAACGCTTCTCGTTATAACGTAGTTTCTGAGCGGTCGATGATGAACTACTTTCTTGAGCTGTGCGGCTGAGCGGTGCAGTGATACAGCACGCGGAATGATGCAGTAATGCAGCTGCAAACCCTCAGTTAGCTTCTGAGATCTCGCCAGATGGGGCGTCGGTCGTGTGTACAGTATTCACTTCAAAACCGGAACAAAACAAGCCACGTTTACCACCATCAAACTTCACTCGACAGCACAATATACTCAGCAGCGTCACTGGGGAGAACAAACTAAAATAAATAAGCGGCCAAAATACCTCGTTCCCATAACTGACCCGACACCGCCAAGATTAAAGTATATTTGACACACCTCATCTGCCACACGGCCTTCTGGGAGTACGTAATTTCAGGGGCATTGGATCAACACAAGTGTATTAAAGGACTCTTTCACTGTGTCTGTCTCCGTTGTCCTTTATTTGGGTTCTTACAACTTGTCCCACACGGCCCTCGCTCAGAGCCTCCCCGCTTGGCAGCTCGACAGCTGCCGTCGCTCCCGTAGCCTGTCCCCACTCCGATGCAGCTCCACTGCAGGCTTCCTTGTGCAGTCTTTCAGCTGCTCTCGCTGCAGCTCCACCGCTGCCCTCCGTTCCACCCGTGCCCAGTCACCGCTGGCCGACGGTGCCGAGTCTCACCGCGTGGCGATCTCGCCACTCTCCACCCTCTGCCCTGCGTGGCCTCACCTTGTCTTTATTCCCACACTCTCCTCCCGTCTCTTCCGGTTACCGCCCTTAAGAGCTTACCCCTCTCCCCCACGTGACCTAACCCCTCCCCCCGTGACGTCATATCCGCGAGGCCGTTTACGCCCGCATTACACAAGCAAGCACTGGGCCAATTGAGACATCATTGTTGTTGACTCATGGATCACTGCCGGCCTTCGGTGAACTGTAGCCAACTCCACAATTGTGCACGACTTAGCCAATCACACAATAACTGCAGCGCTTTCGCATGATTTGGCATCTCATCAGTATGACAAATGCCTCTTTTTATTGCAGGAACTTACAAGGCAGTGGACTGCACAGAGAATGGAAAGGATGCTTTCTGTTTGTTGTGTCCCGAGGGCCTCTACATGGAGACAGAAAACCACGCCACATCCTGTAACCGGTGTAAGAAATGTGGAAAAGGTAAAGACATCGTGATCGATAGAGGCAGCATTGGCATGGCTATTGCACCACAGTGTGGGGCGGCCGACTGTAACCATCACCGAAAACATTCAGCTGACTGAATGCTCTCAACTCCAGCCATCCCCGAAGATCTGAGAGGTCTACGGAATGGCCATTCACGGCAGCTTGAGATGCAGAAGCATTTCGACGCTCGGTGCATTTAAAACATCGCCATTGATGTGGCGCCTCCTCAAAATACCGCCTTCACCATGCCTTAGGAGTTACGCATTACGACTGCAGTTATACCATCACGCGTGTACCATCACGCAACTCCGGTCATACTCGCAGCAGCGGCTCTTGGCTGGCCATCAATCAAAGACGGCAGTCACCGTATCGTGCACTTTCGTACGTGCTTTTGCGGCCGTCTGGAACGCTCTTCCTTCTGATATTAGGAAGCCTCTGGAGCTGTACACTTTTAAATCATCATCGTCTAGAACGACAAACTAACTTTTATTAGAACTGATTTTTGTGTTTAGTTTGTTGTCCTTCCCCCGCACCTCCGATTAGCACGGTTGGCTGCGTACGGTGCAAAAGAAGTTTAACACACATGCGAATACGTCATCACAGCCCATAACAGTTTTCTTCTGGATAAACTAAAGAAGATTGGAACTGCATGGGCCACCATTCGAAGTTGGTATATTCACATTAAAGATGAGAATTGTCTATTATTCTTGAAGTCCACTGAAGACAATGGTATTATCTGGATTGTAGTTGGGGAATACAGTTTATAATAAAATATCAAGAAAAATAATGTATGTATGTTGAACTTCTTCTGCACAGTACGTATGCTAATAGGAAGTGCGGGTTACAGGATGTGGCATGGTTTTCTGTCTCCATGTAATGGCAACGCATCACGTGGCATAAGCAGTTACCAGAGTCCACATCCATCTCATTGTGGCAGTAGATCTGAGCAGTGCAACACATGGAGGAGTTGTCGTTGCTTCCAGCAAACTTCATCTGATCACAACATAAACTAAACGTTGCATTTCTGATTTACGCATGCTGCTTTCCATACAGACGAAACCATTAAGACTCCATGCACTATCGCATCGAATACCCAGTGCCGGTGCAAAGAGGGCCTTCAGTGGAATCCAGAGACCAGAACTTGTTCGATGACCGAGCCAGGTACGGACACGCATGGTGACCCTTCCCCTGGTGACCCTTTCCCTGGTGACCCCCTGGTGACCCCCTGGTGACCCTTCCCCTGGTGACCCTTTCCGTGGTGACCCCCTGGTGACCCTTCCCCTGGTGACCCTTTCCCTGGTGACCCTTTCCCTGGTGACCCCCTGGTGACCCCCTGGTGACCCTTCCCCTCGTGCCCCCTGGCTCTGGCTCTGGAGCCAGGGGGCAGCAACCTGCAGCTCCAGAGCCACGTGTGGTGGCTCTTTGGCTTCCCCGCTTGCTGGAAGCCGTTTTTTTTACTTGAATCTTAAACGTCATTTAACACAACGATAATAATCAATTTGTTCAATATGAAAGGGAATGGGTCACTATGGAATGTCTTGGTGACGACATGATTACACCAGTCAAACGTGTTTTGTGAAAGAATAACTAAAGAGGGAACACACGAAATAGACGCTGTTTATCCATCAGCTATTTTGTTTATTTAAGTCATCTGCTGTATAGCTGCCGTGTGTCTGTGTTTGTGTACAAGTGGCCCTGCGTGTGATACGACTCTCGAACTATTTTGGTCAAAGACAAAATCACAAAATGGATCTTCTACCTTTCAACAGTCGCCAACCCCTGCCCACAGAGGACGGATGAACCCACAGACTCACAACGAGACCGTCGCCTCACACCGAGACAGCTTGACGAGGGCGTCTGTGGCCAATGACGTGCTTTATCATTTATTTTGTGTTCGACCACGGAATGATTTGACCAAATCTGTATCGCGAATCGTCCACCAACCGGACACAGCCAAGCAAATTCTATTGGCACCGTGAACACGCGTTTAACGTACCGATGGTTATCAATATTGTCGTCGTTTCAATTTCAAGAGTAATTCTCAAAACTGTTATTGCCAAATATGAATCCATTGGGAGAAACACCAACATTACAGTACTTAGAGCTGATCGTTACACGTAAAATGTGGTTTGGAAACATTGTCGATAAGTAGGTGATATACACAATTGACTTGTTTCACAATTCCAACCTTAGGTTGAACACGTAGGCTTTCATGATCGATAAAAAAATATCATGAAGAGGTTATGTTTTAATACAAGGCAAAGAACGTGCGTACCTGTGTTGATGTTTGTTGTTTATCTGCTTTATCCAGGTGCGATAGTAAAACCAGTGACACATTTGGCCGTGTTCATTGTTATTTTATTGCTGATTTGGATCGCTCGATATATGTGGAAGTTCTTCAGTGAGTACTGACTGCACATTGTCACTTGCTCATGATGTTATCCCTTTTTCCCTGATCGTGCTATCGTCGTCATGCGATATGATGAAGAATGAATTTGGATATATTTCGCTGAGCCGTTGTGACCCCCTTGCGTTTAGAGAACTGCCGACAGAAGTGGATATCACAGAGCTCACTCTGAGATTTGTATTGTCATGTACAAATCGCCCACATGTCGTCAGATCTCAGAAGCTAAGCAGAGATGAACCTGGATAATAGTGCTTGGATGGGAGACCACCATACACAAACAGGTTGTCAGAGGGCAGCAGAAATATGTAGTTGGATTATACATCTATGCTCTCTTGTCTATGCAGACAGCGATTAATGCTTTGGTATTTGCATTGTCCTTGTACCGTTCACATTTTGTGGTTCTCTGGTCTAACACCGGTGGTGAGATAGGGCCATGGAGGTGGCTGTCTCTCGTGTGGCCAATCAGTTTCAAGGACAGTGCGTGACATTGTTATCAGCGCATGTTTGTTTGTGTGTTTTACCACGAGCATGTGTGGTGAATGACAGCTGTTGTCTATTTGGTGTCTGGACATCTTAACGCGTCCAGTATTATTGCCGGAAAGGCCAAAGCCTCTTAAATCTTGTTTTAAGGAGTTTATTTCTTCATAAAACATTGATGTATATGTTTTGCAGAAAATCGAAAACAAACATGGGAACGAAAGGATCAACTACCCATGTTCCGGCCCCAGTCAGACGTGAGTGTCCCTGTAATGAGTGCGATTATTATGACGACGTGTTAATCCATGCCACGTTTTGAATCAAAACACGGACTCACATGAGAAGCTTCATTTATCACTCCAATCTTCCCGAAGGTTGCTAGGCTGGCTTGTAGTTTTGGGCATAAGGCACTACCACTAGAGTACAAGCTATGACTATCCGTTACAATTCAATGTTATTTTGCATTATCTACGCCTGTAATCCGATGAACACGTTGAAATAAAATGATTAAACGAGGCGATATGCATGTGGAGTGCCAATACAAGTCTGTGAACAGAGTTAATGACTGTTCTGGCCAAGTGTTGCAAATGGCTAAATTATTACTTTGAACACATGAGATGGTTTGGTGGCTCACAACTGCTGTTCCAAAGCAGATTGCCAACCATCCCGGTGGCTCAAGTTGAAACGATTACCAATAGGATTACACGGGAACACGGAATGCCCATAGACTAACATTGAGAAACGATTCCCCATAGCATTACGTGGGGGAAATGCCAGCTGCAAATTAATACATTGTTATCAGAGCCTCGGCAACTTCCACTTTGCGTGCAACCGCTTCGAGATACCAGGTTGCATCGTCCACCGTTGTCACAATGTATCGATTGCCTTTGTAAAAATGTGTAAACATTACGAGCATTTTACCCAGTGCCACTGTATATATCCCTTTGCAATTGTCCTCAGGCAAATGTGATACGACTGGCAGAAACTCTGTGGTTAGTGCACAGCCCTATTGATCCAGTCACCTGAGCTTCATTATTATCCATAGCTACCATCAGTGGGAGGAGATTTCTGATCCGGAACAGGTACGCCCCCTTCACCAACCCACACTGACCTGCAAGGTGAAGAATGGTCAAATAACCCCCGTGACCTGCACGACACGGGCAGACCCTCGGAGCAGTGGATTGATTAAAGGGCTGTGCATGTACTTAGACACAGTTCGATGTGAGAGTACTTCACTGTTTTCATCAAGGACTCTGTGTTTTTGTTCACTCATAATGTAGGAGTTGGAAATGCTGATTACAAATGTTAAGGCCGAGCAGGACGGACCGGCGTTCTTTTTACTGAAAAACAAGAAGAGGGAGTTGAAGCTCTGGCTCAGAGTCAACCCAGAGCACCTTCTGGAGCACCTCGACAGCAACAATCTGATGTCACGTGACTTCTACAAACGAGCCACAGCCTTGCCTCCTGAAGAACGCATCGACGCTGTGCTCACACATTTCATGATGGGCGGAGAGCACCAATGTCGTGTCCTGCTGAGGGCTCTTTTTGATGTGAGAAAGACTTACGCTGATGTGTGGAATTGGCTGATGGATACGGGTAAGAGAGATGTACCCACTTTAAAAGCGTTTTTATTTTTCCATAATGTTTTCCCGATTGTGCTACCGGCACCACACATTCTCTCCATGGATCTCTCACAAGGCGTGCAGCACTTTGCATGAGAGAGCAGAGCAGCCCAGTCAAGCGGATACCACAAAGCAACCTCTGAGATCCCTGCAAGTGACCTCGGGCCTACACAGTCGGAGGCAGCACATTCCCATCACCTCTGCCACAGAGATCAATGTTCATTGCATGACGGTCAAACCAGTGCGTTTCATTTGTAACTCTCTCAGCTGTGATTTTGCAAACTTAAGTGCAGAACGAAATTTAACGCCATCGGGTTGTGTGCAGTCTTTGGTAACTGGGCTTTATCCATCAACTCACTTGAGAAGTCGGTTTAATCACAGGCAGCTTCCTGGATTCGAACCCGGTAATCTTAGTGGTGCTGGGGTCAGCGCTCTTGACCTCTGTCGGCACCCGGCCACCTCACCAAGGTAAGACTTGTATAGTTCAGCCAATGGCATGTCATGCTGTGTTCGCATAGGAGGTGTAATCAAGTGCTCGATCGGTTGTTCTCACAGACAGGAAGGTGAAGTTAATCATCGTGGAAGGACAGTCACTGAGAGCTATTCGCATGAAGAAACTTGAACTTAAGCAATGGCTGAGCTCCAATCCGAGCCACCTTGTGGACAAGTTAAAAAAATACGGGTTCCTGACAGCTTACAAAGCGCCTTCGTTCACAAACAGCGAGGAATGCACCTTGAATGTTCTGAATCACTTCATCGACCGAGGGGACAAAGGCTGCGAGAAGCTCCTGTTTGCCCTTCAAGCCGTGCACGTCCACTACGCCCACTTACACACGTGGCTGCGCTCTCTCGGTGAGTGGGATGTAAGGATATATCTGCTGTCTCGCCTTTTTACGAATTTCATCCCTTCAGTGACATCGGCCTCCTTTCACGCCAGACGAAGTACGGCAAACCCTGGCCCGTCGCGGGGGGTTGCGTTTTTGAAAATAGCCGCGAACGGAAAATCCGTGATCGGAAAACTCAAAAGCGAATGGGGAAAACTCGAGATTGGTTCACAGTTCGTAATACAACACCCAACCCTCCTTTTTCTTTATGTTAGCCTACATCAACCCAAACATTCAACAGGAAGTGTTTTGAATGGAACATTTGATTAATATTTTCTAGTGTTAAATAAAACTTGTACGATGAATGTTGAGAATGAGAAACAAATGTATGTAGTGTACAACACGTCACCACGAATCGTCTCAATGTAACTAACGTTGCACGCCTCCTCGCTTCTCCTAACCACTGTAGGGGCAGATAACGATGCCGTGCTTTTCTTTTACTTGTTCATTTAGTTATATAATGACGCTAATGGTAATTTTGTGTTATGTATTTTATTGTTTGTGTGTCAAACCCGGACCCACATTTGACAGAGAGGGTGGTTGGCAATAAATAGCCGGCATTTCAATCGCATTGGTTCAAACAGACGTTGTTCTGCTGATGAGACACTGATTGTCAAATTTCTTCCATTCTTTGTTTGTAGTGAACCAATTCTGCTGAAATGTTGCACTTCCAGAAGGTCGTGTGGTTATTGTGATGTGTACAAAATACTTTAAACTTTTATATGGAAGGCATAAAAGGGATGTAGTCACGTCGTCTATTTGTTTACTCTGTTCTTGTCACTCCCTTTCAGGTTTCTTCATGGAAATTCTGAACAATTCCCCCTTATTTATCATGCAACGTAGCGACGCTGAACTCAGCAATACTCTGCAGAAATGCCTCCCCAAGCTGATAAATATACTGCAAAGTGATGTAAAATTTCTTGTACGTCACCTCCTCCAACAAAACCTCATCACTAAGGTGAGCACCGCGGGGTAACTTTCTACCTTCTGTCACCGTGTAAATACACTCAAATAAATATCGTTATTTCTCAATACACAAATGGATGCGGGCTACCACATGCCACTTGGGCCATCACGTTTGCTTTTCTATATATACAGTGTATATATACAGTGTAGACATACAGTGTATATACAGTGTATTAATTATGCTTAACTGCGCTGGTCAGTTGTTGAGGGGAGGGAAGGAGGAAAGGTAGAACCAGTTCTGATATCACCTGCCGCTGATGATGAGTATGGCCGGAAATCGAACTTGGGATATCTCAAGCCTGGAATCACCACCACAGGTGGCTGTGGAGAGAGAGTCGGCATCTTCAGGTGACCTCTCTGCAGGATTTTCCTGATCAAGGGATGTGTCCTTTCAGCAACCCTTGCTGCTGTTTGTTGAAACATGTGGCTGTTAAAGTCTGCATTAAATTTGGAAGTTGGGAATTGGAAACCGATGCAGACATCGTCATAAAGAGGATCGTACGATGGCAGGAACACGTGTAAGGATGGAGGAGAGCACTTTGCCAAAATTGGCATTGAAGTGGAAATCAGAGCGGTTGCTGACCAAGGAGACGAGCTTTGAGGTTTGGTTTCTATAGGCGGTGACATGGCCTCGCGGTAGCGCATTTTGCGCTTGTTGAAGAGGGTGACGGCGGCCACTCCGATTGATACTCTGGGCGTGTTAACCACACAACTACATGCCGTCTGTGTCACAGTGGATGTTACATATCCCGTGACAGCATTCATAGGAGCAGACCTTACTCGCTGGCCTCATGCTCCAAATTTGCCACGTTTAAAAAAATACTCGCAAAATATACAGAGCATAGCAATCATCAACCCCCTGCTGTGAAAAACGTGGCAAGACCCCTATAAAAAAACATTCATGAGACTTCCCTCGGTAAGCAAGCTTAATGATCATAAAAAATATACTTTGTAGCATTTGTGAATTCTGGCAGAATGGCGAGGTGTGGCGGTATAAACGACATGAGCTGCACAGACATCTTGATCTTAAAAGGACATTGCATGAAACTGTCATCACCGATGTTTCAGGAGACAGAGGCGACGTTGCTTGGAGAGGCAACGGAGATGAAGAAGTCTGTCACGCTGCAGGATGTCGTGAAGAAACATCCGCGTTGCGCGAGCAAACTGTGGGAGATCGTGTGGGGTCTCCGAGATTCCCACCCACAGCTCACAGAGTTTTGTCTGCAGCTTTGAGCCCCCCCCCCCTTCCAAAAGTAATCTTTGGTTGATTATAACATTTATGCAAACAACAAATTCACAGCCAGTCAGCTTCAAGGGGAATTGCATATGGGTGGGTGGAGACAGTAGGTGGGCACATCTCTGCTTTATTGACCTGGTCAAGGCTTATGATACCATCAACAGGCCAGGGCTGTGAGCAGTTGTTCATCCTTTCGGAGTCCCTGACTCTCTGTTCACAATCATTAAGGGCCTTCATGATGGTGGACAGGCCCGGGTAAAGCTACGTCGCCAGGAGTCAGAGCCATCCCCTGGTCACCTTCTATTTGGCCGCATAAAGGGGGCTAAACGGGCACGACATGGGCTGGAGAAGAGATGGTCTGATGCGGTATGTGATGATGTAGCGCTGAATAGACTTGCCGACGACTGGTACCAGTGGTGTCAAGATCGGCCTCTATAGAGGAGGCTCGTGAAGGACGCTGCTAGGCAATTTGGAGGCAGTCGCCCTCCAGCAACAACGGAGGGCAGAGGAGCAACGCTCACAACAATGAGCAGAGCACCCAGCGGCTAAAACGCAGCAAGTCGGCACAGTAGGGGGCACAGCTGGTAGTGCATCTACCGGTCATCTCAGTCAGCCAATCCATGGCACCTGTTGGGTCTGTCCCGAGACTTGTCAGCGAGCCTTCGACACTTCACGTGGCCTCAAAGTGCACTTGGCCTGGCATAGGTACCGTGGTGATGTCACCGTCACTTAGTGGCGAATGGCGGCTGTATTGGTGGGTGGGGACAGTTGTGGTGGGTGGGGACAGTCGGGGTGGGTGGGGACAGTCGTGGGTCAGGCAGATTTATGATGACTAGAAATGATATTAGAGCAGAAATGGAACGTAAAATGTCGGTCATCATTTTAAAGTGTGATATCCTAGAAACGTGGACTTTTGTTAACTAAAAACATGTTTTTTATAATGAATCTATAAACCTGAAGTTAAATGTTTTTATACCAATAAAAAATGCGGAAACCATTAACTTGTCAAATAATGTATACAACTTTCAAATCAAATATATGTTCAGGTGATGAGGTGTACAAATCAACACAACTTACAGCCGTAAATAGTTCTGATGCCAGTTTTCCTTTTGGTTCTATCATTTGTGGATGAAAACTACTTTGTTTACATCACTGTGATCTCCGTAAAATGATGAGGAAAAGAATAAGAGAACGCTGAGAACACTGCACAACAATGAACGAAGCAATGGAAGCTTGAAAGCAGGAAAAAGGAGGTTGATGATTGGCAATTCAGGAAGAGAAAACCAAAGCTCATGATTGAGATGATATTTGAAAATTAGTGGAGGAGCTGTATGCAGATCTCTTTAGCAAAACACAAAATGTTTCGCCCAGGAATCGGACTGGCTGTCAAGTGCAGATGGCAGACTGCACAAGTCAACACTGCCCTTCGCTGTATGAAGGTGAAAACTCCGAGATCAAATCTCTACACAGAAATTGAAAACCGCAATCATGGAATGATGCCTCCACCACTCTTTTTAAAAATGGTGATAAATATTATTTTAAAAACTGCGAGTCCATAACCTCTTGTTATTCATAATAAAGGTTTTTGGGTTGGATCACGTTATTTATAAATGTGTCGCAACCCTCCACCACCCGACACGGCCAATCAATAAAAATTGTGTCACGTTGACAAAAGACAAATAGTTGACTACTTTCGCCCACCGGTGTGTTGAAGAGCGGATCCATAACATTTATAATTTTAGTCCGACGTCTCGCTGGTAATTACATTCAGCATTTTCGGGCGATTTGCCAGAATAGTGAAACCATCCACCTGCTCCCGGTCTTAAATAGTGCAGGATAACGTCATCATTGTTGAACCCCATCAAGATTCGAGATCAGAGGCGGAGGTGGAGGTATATGCAATTATGTAATATATCAGTACTGATCTATTCAACACCACGGTGGACTAAAGAAGTGAACTATTTGTCAATTATGTAATAGATCAGTGACTCTCACAAATGGGTAAACAACAACAAGACCGTGTGAACAACGAGGTGCAGCCACCTCCTGGCCCGTCAGGAACAGTGTTAGCGCCACCGCACGCATCCTGCACGGCTCCTTGTTGCCGAACCGGAGTCTGCTGCAGGGTCCAGCAGTGACTTGTCCGCACCGTGGCTCAGTGCTGTGGGTGGCACAGGGGCATGCGCAGGTGATTACATTTCTCCGGGCGGCTGCTGTGGCTTGTCGGACACCCTAGAGCCCGGGCGGTGGAACAGGACATGGAGATGAGGCGCTTGTGTGATGATGGAGGGAGGGCTTGAGACGCGACGGGTGAACAAACCTACGGAGACGTACCGACTGCGCGCGTACGCATTGAGACCGGGCCCTGCCACGGTCGGTGGGGCACACCCGTAGGGGTTTTACCCAACGGGGGTGGAAAAAACCCGATTTTTCCAGCGGCAGGCATCGGGTTTTTTCTTTAATACAATGAAACCCGATTTCGGGGAATTAAACCCTGGTTTAATGAATACGAAACTCTGATCCAAGGCTTAGGCTGCTTCCTCGTCGGTGCTGCTGTTATCGTACTCGGGGCCGGGGTAGTCGTAGAATGCGGCGGGCAGGTTGGTCTTGATGAACACGAGCTTCTCCTCCACAATCGTGGGCGCCAGTGAGTTCCTTAGCTTGGAATGGATGAAGCCCATCGGTGAGAAGTTGGCGAAGTGCGGTTCTGCAATTAGAACCAATTAAACCGGATTTCTCCCAATCTCAGATGATCTGGTTTCATATAAAAAGACAATTAAACCCGATTGTAAAAAACCCGACTGTGGTTACCACCCTTGGTTTTACCCAACTGGGGTTCTATGGGCGGACACGAGAGGAAAGGGGGAACAATCCCGTGGAGGCCCGTGGGGCCTCACCTACAACCCGGCAGAGCCTGGACTTTGTCGTTCTGTTCAGCCGTTCCACCACGACATCCACCTAAGGGTGGCATGGGGAAGCGCGCTTCTTTTTCGTGCCTCGCACACATCCCGTAGGAGTTTTTCGATGAAACATATCGCCCCTGATCAGTAAGGAGCTGTTCGCAGGGGGCCTTGTCCATCACAAATCCATGGAGGAACGCAGGTTGATGAAGGGCCTCACCCGCCTTCATTTATCCCAAGACAACCGTGACGCAGCAACATTTGTGAGTCACACAACCACACTGGTTTAACACGCAGCAGGAGGCTTTCGCGACCAATATCCAGAATAGAGTTTTTTTTGGGTTAGATCTCGTAAATATATGAATGTGTCGTTAAACCCGCCACAGCCAACTAATAAGGGTTGTCACGTAAACAGAACGTGCCAATTCGTCACTAGTACAGCACACCGGTGTGTTGGAGAGCAAAGCCACAACATTTACAATCTGAGTACGACGTTTCGCCAGTAATTACAACTAGCTTCATCAGGCGACAGCCACATTTGTGGCGAGCTTCATCAGCCTTACAAGTTGGCTGTGTCGGGTGGTGGTGGCTTTCACGACACATTTATTTATTTACGCGATCTAACCCAAAAACCCTCTATTATTGCAAACCACATTGGTCACATTGGCATGGCCAGTGCTGCTCCTGGGAGCCAAGAGTCACATTCAGTGAGAAGTATTGATGGCGATGAGAGCTCAGGATCAATAATAAAAAAAGTGTTTGCGACGAAGGTGGGATTCGAACCCACGCGTGCAGAGCACAATGGATTAGCAGTCCATCGCCTTAACCACTCGGCCACCTCGTCCCCACGCTCTGTGGCACTCACCATCAGCTACTATTCATCACTTCATGGTGGTGATGCCACTTCACGCCACTTGTGCCAGGCTAGGTGCACTTTAAGGCCGCGTGAAGTGTGAAAGACTTGCTGCTGACAGGTCACAGGAGAGAAGCCAGGTGTTGGGGGCTTGACTGAGCCGTGCTCCCACTGTGCCAAGTGGCTTTAGATATATACACAACAAAGACAAACACCATTGGAACCTCCTTTGCCAGTAGCAAAATATGATAATTGTTTTTTTACCCTTTTATCTGGCAACAAAACTGACACCTTTGTCTATTAACAAAGACAAAGTGTCCCAAGTAGCCTTGTGCCGACTGTTGGGGCAAGTGCTGTAAGCGAGCCCCTGTGAAGGAGTCACCACAGGACTAAACAGTCGTCAATAACACTGGCACAAGGGGAACTATACAATAGGTGACGTTTCGGACAATGGACATTTTTTTAGAGCCCTTAAGCAAAGCAGAGAGGCAAGAGAGATGAAGTGGATACGAATCGTGGGGCCTGATGAGAATGGGTTTTTTTCTGATTCCCAGATTTTAGGTTAGCATATGCACTACAGTAGTTACCTAATAGCTATTAAGTTACCTAAGAGCTAATAGTAGTTACATAATAGCTATTAGCTTACTGTGTATGCAAATATAAAAAAATCGGTAGGTTCATATGCGAATTAAAAAACAAGTTACTAGAAGCTAACTTCATTTGCCATTTTAAAAACTGATCAGAAACCGTTTTAAAAGGTAATTATCGTGAGGCCCCATGGCGTAAACTCTGCATTCATTAAAAACACTGTCACTAATGAAAACCATCTCTATTATAATCCACTCTGCACTGTGTGCTCTGATGGAGGCCCGCTGCCCGAAACGTCGCCTTTGACGGCGCTGTTGTTTTATCTGTGCACCACTGCCACGTTTTATTTGTGCGGTGGTTGTGAGATGAACTTTTGCACGAACGACGCTGCAATGTTAAGTTATAATTATTATAAATACATGTTCACCACCACCACCACGTCGCTTTACCTAAGATAACATAATATATAGTTTAGTTAGATGTTTTAAATATTTTAAAGTGACTTGCTAACCTTCCCTATACTTCGCACTCCCACAGTGTGTGTGTGTTGTTTGTAGTTGTGACCCCGTGACCCCGTGACCTCTCCTGGATCCCCTTCCTCAAGAGCTTCACAGCTCATCGGATTCTCCCTACGCAAGATGGCCGACCGTGGCCACGTGACGCGACGCCGATCAGCTGTTCCAACGGGAGCGGGCGGGGGAGGAATCGATTCGTTTCGCCGAATGAGAACATCGATGAATCGCGTTCATTCGTAATCAAAATCGATATTTGTCTTAAACAGATGTCCGGGAGGGGCACGGGGTCAGAACGCGATAAAAGCCCCGACAGGAGCGCATCTCAACCCTGTGGCTCGCACCGGGTACTCATTTGAGGCTGAGTCGACCTAGGGGAGGCGCACGACCGGTTCAAATAATCGTCGACAGGTTCGCAGCGCAGCGCGCTAACCACCGCGCCACCGCTCCTCGACAACGCCTCTTGTCACGCGCACGGGAATCGATTCGTTGCGACCGAGATTTAAAGGTCAGAATCGAAGCACGAGGAATCGATCCTTTCACTTTGTCCCAGTGCAGGCGCGGCGAGCCGAGCCCGGCTCTGTGCGTTGTGTGCCAGGGCCGCCTTTGTCTCCCCACAGCGGCAGCTGCACCACCGCCTCGGTCTCTGCCGTCCTCGCTCGCTGCCCCCCCCCCCCCGGCTACTGCGCTGGACACGTTCGCCATGGCGAGGACCCCCCCCCTACTGCTGATGCTGCTGCCGCTGCTGCTGCTGCTGCCCGGGCAGGCCGGGGCGGACCTGCCCGTGAACTGCTCCTTCGAGGACCTCGTGGGCACGTGGGAGATGGAGGTCGGGCCGGTCAACTCCGGACCCCAAGTGGACTGCGAGCCGGCGGGTGAGGAGGAGTTGGGGGGGGGGGGGTAAGAGACCCCCTAAGAGACCCCCTAAGAGACCCCCTAAGAGACCCCCTAAGAGACCCCCTAAGAGACCCCCTTAGAGACCCCCTTAGAGACCCCCTAGAGGGACAATTAGACACCCGCTAGAGACCCCCTAGAGACCCCCTTAGAGACCCCCTTAGAGACCCCCTTAGAGACCCCTTAGAGACCCCTTAGAGACCCCTTAGAGACCCCCTTATAGACCCCTAAATACCCCCTTAGATACCCCTTAGAGACCCCCTAGATACCCCCTTAGAGACCCCCTAGAGACCCCCTAAGAGGCGTTGGGGCTCTGCAACCCGCGGTTCGAACCCGGCCCGCGGCTTTCACTTCGCCCTCCGTTCATTCCGCACTCGTTCCTTTTCATCTTCACCGCAAGTGAGTGACAACTCGTACATGAATGGTGCAGCTCGAGTGAGTACATTCCTCGTGGCCGAGCAGACTTTGATGATGTGTTTGTTGATCTAATTGTGTATGTCTGCCTGGCTGGTATTCGGTGCACAACTCTTACAATCTGAGTCTTTATGTCGACTGGAGGAATCCGATGAACTATAAAGCGATTTTTCATAGATGTTCAGTGGGGGCGGGGTTCACAGCCGTAATTATAAAATACATATTTGAATATTTGGGGGAACATCCCCCCAATATTCAAATATTCACAAAATGCCCCCCCCCCCCAAATATATTGCTATAAAATAGATTTCTGTTTATATGATTGTGGTTATGGTTGTACTTTATTAATCCCTAATCTCTGCCATTACATACAATGAAACAAGAAAATGTAAAAAAGAAAAACAGCAATGTAATACAATACACTAGTAGCCATTATTGTAAAAAGATGAATAAAAAGTCCATCCTATGTGTTAGTGAATTTTTTAAATATTTAACGCAGGAAATTAGTTTAAACATTTTATTTTTTTTCTGGGTGGGGGGGGCCCAGACCCCCTGGAAGATTTGGTCAACCCCCCAATGTTGACTCCATGGCTACTACGGCCTTGGCGGGGTCATAACAACAACAAATAATAAAAAAAACACGATAAGAGTGCAAAGTGTGTGAAAGGTAAATAAATAACGAATATAAATGCAAATACAACTACCGGTAAACGATACTGTTTTTTCGGTAAAGTCACGTAGGTAAAAAACTAAATACAATAAATTAAAATGAAAACTAAATTAAAACAAATCACGACGTTTCGAAGGCAACACAAGCCTCCGTCATCAGGTGGCTGCTCCAGCAAAATTACTGTAGCGTATGAGATCTACGTCGTGATTTGTTTTAATTTAGTTGTTTTAATTACATTTTATTTTGTTTTTAACCTACGTGACTTTACCGAAAAAAACAAAAAGTATGGATCCTTGCAGTCACGAAAACTTCAAATCTAGAATTAATACCGGTAAACTATTTGTTTTATCTTACCAGGAAAAGCCCACCAAGCTCTACAGCTTTTTCAGAAGTGATCTGGCTACAAATGGTAGCCCAACGAGAAGGGGCTTCTCGTCACGTGTAAATGTCATAGCAGCCAGATAATGTAAATAATAAGATGTGAGTGTACAAGTCAATAGGTGTTTGCCGTGTACGTGTAAGCTGACACCACCCACGGGACATGCCTACAAAGTGAGAGGTCCCGTCTGGGGTGAAGTATAATAAGTACATTGTATCAACATGTTCATTAAATACAGGGTGCATCAATAAATGTTTAACAATTATATGGGACTATCGTTTTTAATGAAAAAAGAACGGATAAAACACTGTAGCACGATAACAAATGTAATGTTAATAGCTTCACAAAGTCAGTCTCCCCCACTTGATCGCCATCGTTGTCAACGCGTGCCTGGAATCTTCTCCAGGTGGTCTCCAGAGTCCGCAGTCAGCACATTTTTGAAGCGCCCTGTGGCTTCTCACGACTTAATTTGAGTTGTTCCGTGACTGTAATCACATGCTGTAGGGGAGGCGAGGGAGGGAGGGCTCCGTCTTTGTGTCGTCTCTCAGGACACTGCTGTGGAGTGGAGTCTGTGCAGGAATATTCCAGAGTCTCAACACTCGTTGCGATGAGGGTCCTGCATCTGGGGGGCGTTTGGCACCCTGGCCGTATCGAATTCGCCGCGTGGAGTAAAGCGACGTGGAGGACTTGGTGAAGCCCGCACCGATCCCGCGTAGGGGCTGTGCTGCCACCAATCGCCATTTTGCGCAGACCTAACTCGGACATTTCTCAGCCGAGGTCTCTCGAAATGGATATTCTGGAGGAATCCATGAGCTATAAAGCTCTTTGTTACCGATGTCCAGTAGATGGGGGCGGGTCAGAAAGTTACAACAATACAAACGCACGACAGAATTTACAAGTATAGGAAAGGTTAGCAAATCACTAAAAATATACAAATAAACTATTTTTTATCAGGAAAAGTCCACAGTTTACTGTAATTAAGTTGCACACGAGGTCTCAAATAAATTCCTTCCACCTCGGTCACAAATGCCAAATTTAGAGCCGTCTGGGTCACTACTGGAACAGGTGGCAACGCTCGTGTCACACCGCATGGGTGAGAGAGCTGCACATGAACAGAAAAGTCAACACATTCGTTAATAAAAGCCACGTGCACGAAATGTCACCCATCCAATCCTACTATTGCTAGTCTACAGTGTCTTGAGATGCAGCTGCGTGTGGATGCCAGGTGCACCTTCTTTAGCAGCGTACGTAACCAACCGCGCCCATGGGAGGTGCGGGGGAAGGACAGCAAGACTAAACACAAAAAACAATTCTAAAGAAATTAGTTTTCTGTTTAGATTTAAAAGTGCACAGCTCCAGCGGCTTCCTAATATCGGAAGGAAAAGCGTTCCAGACGGCCGCAGAAGCGCGCAATGTGGTGACCATCTTTGTTCAGTGGCTAGCCGAAAGCCACCGCTGCGAGGATGACAGGAATTTGCGTGATGATAGTTTATGCTTCTTGACGATATCAGCGAGCTATCGTGGTTCACTTGTGGCAATGCGCTTTTTGCGTGTCATGAACCTGCGTTGTATGCCCACGGCGACCCAGCCCCGTAACGCTCGGTGTGTCCCCACGCAGGCAAGGCCGTACAGGTGGTACGGCTGCACCTGCTCAAGATGAACGTGGCGGCCGACGAGAAGGGAAACCAGGGAACGTTCACCATCATCTACAACCAGGGCTTCGAGGTGGTGCTCACCGGGTACAAGTGGTTCGCCTTCTTCAACGTAAGCACCGGCTGTCGCTCGCAAGGCAACCGTACGCGGCCTTCCCACACACTTGTCTCTCCACGTAGAACACGGCAGAACAGGAATCCCCCGTGATCGGTCGCCTTGTCACATCGCTGACGAATTCGGGAGTCTGGGCCCGAGCACTCGAGTGTCCGCATCTCACGTATTCTCTCCGTCTCTCCTCTCTCTTTCTCTCTCCCTTCTCACCCGCCCGTCAGTTCACTAAGGTGGGCACCGTCGTGACGAGCCTGTGCGCGGAGACGCGGGCCGGCTGGGTGCACGACGTGCTGGGCCGCAACTGGGCCTGCTTCAGGGGCCGCCGAGTGAAGCCGCCGTCGTGGAGAGGAGCGGAAGCGGCAGGAGGAGGAGAAGAGGGCGGCGTGGGCTCCCAGTGGAGCGTCCAGGAGGCTCCCAGCACGCGGTGAGAGACCCCGGGGCCAGCGTGCGTCGACGCGGTGATTGTCCGGCGGCAGTGCGGGCCTCGGGCTGATCTAAAGTAAAATGCCGGTTGTCGCACCTCCAATTGACACGGTTGGCTACATACGGTGTGAAAGAAGTTTGACATACGTCCGCCTGACCCTGCATATCCATAATTTGTACTTAGCCGGACCGAGCCGGCCAATATAAACAAACTTCTGCACAGCGTGGAGGTGGAGTGTTAAATGTGATCGATGCATTTGTAAGTGGGAGATGCGCAGCACGCCATGCACACCGTAAAGACCAAAAAGTGTTCGGTATTTACGGTAAAAAACAAACAATCACATTCTGCAATGGCCCATTTTCTGTTCCGTGTGAAGTTGATGGACCTTTACAGTTGACTGTGACTCACAACGACTCGCTGTGAGGAGCGCAGTAAACAGCGATGCAGCGTAGCTCTGCACAATTCAGTATTTGTGATGTTTTCGTGACTGTAACTCAATCTTATTGTTTCCATTTTCTAAAGAAAAAAGGGGAAGTGAGCATAGCCACCCACTGTGACTACGCACAAGTTATCGTTTCCTAAACTGCCCGAAACTGCCATTTGTAAGAGGAAGCGAAAACTAAAATCTGTTGACTCAACTTCGTGCACTTATTTATCTGCGTGGAGCTGTTGCTCAAGGTCACGAGTTTCCCAAGCGATGTTGCTCAGTGCGGTTTGCGGAGGAGGTTGGGGTAATGAGGCTGCGTTAGCCTACGGGTTTTCTTTATTTAAATATATAATAATAAATGTGTCATAATGTCGAACGGAGACCGGTCTGTCGGGTTATCGCGGTCTTGGAGACCCCATCGTCAAACACCGCTGTCAAAAAAAAATCTACATTTTATATACCCTCATCACAGAGCCCGTGTCTGTACATGTGCACATGTGCACCTACTTTTGGTATTATCCACTGCTGGATGGAGACAAAGGTGAGCTGGGCGTGGTGCCAGACACCCCCCTCCCCCTTCGTCTCCGGCATGCTGCCCTTAATAGATAGTCGCCTCGAGCCATAGCAAGCTCTGGCCATACGGTGCAGGATCTTAATCTCTGTCTGTGGTGCGGGTGCCCGCAGTCCAATGTCCAGATAACAAACTTGCTTTACCGTGACACCGCCTGGTCTGGCTTGATGCACTTGCATCAGCTGTTTGCGCTCTGCGCTGTCTGGCTTCCGCCTTCCTCTTTCAGAATGGGTTTTATATATCCCCCGGTGGGTGCGTGAGCTCATCGGATAAACGACGCTCCGCAGAGATGCCAAATTTGTCCGGCTTTGACTTTTTTTTCATTGAACAATTGGGCGTGTGTCGCGTGTCGTGCGCAGGCTGTACGAGCACAATGCGGCCTTCATGCAGCAGGTCAACGAGGCGCAGCACTCGTGGCGCGCCGTGCGCTACCCGCTCTACGACGGCCTGAGCCTGGGGGAGCTGACGCGTCGGGCCGGTGGGCGTGCGTCGCGCATCCACGGGTGAGACGGGGGAGGAGAGGCTGACGGGGTCGAAGATTGTCAGGCTCCGTCGTTGGTTACTCCCCAGTTCGGCGCCACGGTGGCTAGGAGATGTTAACTACCTCGCCTGGTGTACAGGAGGTCGTGGGTTCGATCACGACCCTGACGCCTGCTGCATAATTGGAGTTTGCGTGTATATTTCCAAGTGGTCGTGTGGATTTTTCTCCCGGTTCTCCGGTTTTTCCCCTCCACATTTAGAAACATATGTTTAGAGTATTTGGCTGCGATACATTTTCCCATCGTAAACCACTTAGTCATTTGTGGCCGGGTCGCTTCTGTAAAAGAGTGAAATAGCTCAGTGGGCCTTACCTGGTAAAATAATTTTTTAAAATTGGCTAATCCCAATTTGGGCTCTCAGTGTCTCGTCACGAGTTGTAAGCGTCCAAATGGATCTCTCGAGCGGGCAGTTTGCATCTCCCCGTGGTTGAGAACGACCCGCAGAGGCGGACATCGCAGAGCCACCTGCAACATCCCCTTCATCGAGTGACGCTCCCTGGTCCGTACGGTAGAAGGCAGCACTCTCCCACCAGCTCTGCTGTTTGTATAACGTGCAAACCGAATAACTTTCAGCTGGAATTAATCCAAATTAAGTACGGAACCTTAATTTAATTTGACCCAAGTTCAATTCGCACTTGTGGCCAGCACCGGTGATGATTAATCTGACTGGTCCTAGGCCTCCCCGAGGTGTGAAAATATTAGCAGAGGGAAGAGAAGGATTATCTGACATGGTGTGTACGTGTGCGCGCGTCTTCGTTTGTAGGCGACCAAAGTCGTCTGTGGTGACGGAGGAGACGCGACGACTCGCATCCACCCTGCCCACGTCCTGGGACTGGAGGAACGTTAACGGCATCAACTACGTCTCTCCCATCCGGAACCAGGGTGAGCTGTCCCACTGATACCAGTCTGTGTGTCATTGTCTATGGACCCCATCAGATACCAGCCTGTGTATCATTGTCTGTGGACCTCATTATCTATGGACCCCATCAGAGACCAGTCTGTACATCATTGTCTCTAGACACTAAGACACTGCTGCATCGCGTGTTGTGTGTAGGGTCGTGCGGCAGCTGCTACTCCTTCTCCTCCATGGCCATGCTGGAGGCTCGCATCCGCATCCTGACCAACGCGTCGCAGGCGCCCATCCTGAGCACCCAGCAGATCGTGTCGTGCAGCAACTTCTCCCAAGGTCAGACAGACGCCGACGATGACGAACATTTGGCCAAAGCGAGGAGGAGCGAGCGAGCGTCTCCACCCACACGCCATGTTGATCACTCGCTCCACCGAACTGCCTCGCCCACACCGTGTGCACCCATCACACTGCAGCTCACAACAACAACAGACGCCGTTCACCGCTAAATGGCAGTTGCGTCGCCGTAGTGATTGTGCCGCTTTGAGGCCACGAAGTGTCGAACACCCGTTGGCAGGAGGCCATGGGTTGACTGAGATGACTGCCAGATGCACCAGCTATGCACCAGCTATGCACCAGCTCACTGTGCCAACTCGCTGCGTTTTATCCGCCCGGCGCTCCGCTCGTTGATGTGAGCATCGCTCCCCTGCACTCCTCAGCGGCGTCCTTCACGAACCTCCTCCACAAAGGCCAATCTTGACACCGCTGGTACCAGCCATTGCAAGTCCGCTCGGCTCCACATCCTCCTGTACCACATCAGCCCCTCTCTTTTCTAGCCCGTGCCCGTTTAGCCCCCTCTATCCAGCCACACAGTTTAGTTTTAGTTTAGTTACATTTTTGAGCCGGTTGGCCAAGATTGGGCAACTGGAGATCACCACAGACTCGAGTCTCCCTCCCTCCCCTCCCCTGTCCAGGCTGCGACGGCGGCTTCCCGTACCTGATCGGCGGCAAGTACGCGCAGGACTTTGGGCTGGTGGAGGAGAGCTGCTACCCGTACACGGGGCGCGACGACGCCACGTGCCGGCCCCTGCGCGCCGACTGCTACCGCTTCTACGCGGCGCACTACGGCTACGTGGGCGGCTACTACGGCGCCTGCAACGATGAGCTCATGCGGCTGGAGCTGGTGACGCACGGGCCGATCGTGGTCGGCCTGCAGGTGTACGACGACCTGCTGCACTACCGCGGCGGCGTGTACCACCACACGGGGCTGCGCGACTCCTTCAACCCGTTCGAGGAAACGAACCACGCGGTGGCGGTGGTGGGCTACGGCGTGGAGCCGGGCACGGGCGAGCGCTACTGGGTGGTGAAGAACAGCTGGGGGGAGGAATGGGGGGAGCGGGGATACTTCCGTATTCGGCGCGGGAGCGACGAGTGCGGCATCGAGAGCATCGCCGTTTTCGCCAAGCCCATCCCGCACGTGTGAGTGGGGTGGGGGGGGTGACGCGGGGGGGGGGGGGGTGACGCGGGGGGGGGGGTGACGGCGACGACACCTGCGCTTGCATTGCGCCCGTTACGTAACGGGATGTTGTGCGTGCAGTATCAACGCCGAGGAAAAACCCCCGATGGCAACTGAAAGTTGAAAGCAGCAGTGGCGTGCGGGTGGGCGCTCATCTGACACACGCGGGCATTGATCGCAATGCGCTTTCCCAATTGGTGACCTCAAATTAGATCGCAGAGGTCACATGACTACTACTCAAGCTTGTGTGCTGTCTCGAGCAACATCGTCACTCTCCAACCCTCTGGCATTGCTGTACAGAGTTGCCCAAAGGAATGTGCGTTACTGGATACCGTTTCCCCAAAATTTTCACTGTCATGGCCCTATAGGCAATTGTTTAAATATTATTTTAGCATATCGTAATTTTAACACGTTTACATATCAGATATTTCTAGATATCCAGCCAAAGCATTTTCCAGGTGAGAGGCATTTCAGGTCCTTATATTTCACACGGAGATCACACAATCTCTCTTTAGAGTTGAGCCTTTTCTTTTTTTCTGTGGCTTTAAATGAGACGCGATTTGTGAATCAGAATCGAGGGCTCCGATGGTTGCAAGTCACCTGCCGGATATCTGTGTCAATGTCTGTCAAGTGACGACTCAAAGCCAACGTATGGTGAGCAGTGTGCATGAGACCTAAAATACACTGCAGACTCACCTGGTGGGTAAGGCATGAGTGGGTTGAGGACTGGTTACATAGGTTAGCAGTACGAGGCGAGGATGAGGGGGGGGGGGAACAAGGGACCTTTTGGGCAGCTGGCTTGGCAAGGAATCGTGCTTCACCCGGTGCCAGTGACAGCTCGTCACCACTGCTCTCCTGGCCTCTGTGGGTGGGACAAGCGGCGCCCGCAGCACTGGGTGAGGCAGGGCAGTGGTGATGGCTGGACGCGAGGTCCAATCCTCTAGTGAGGTTGTTGTCTGCGTCGTTTTATCGTGAGAGGAAATCAAAGCCTGCCAACAAACACCCCACAAATGCTTGGCATGCAATAACGGCAACTCTTCATCTCTCTGCGAGTCCCTGACCAGGCCTGCATGATGATATATCCAGCCCCGAGAATCTGGCTTGATTTGCATACGACAAACCTCCTGAGCTGGGCCTATACAAGGAGTGTGGCTCGTCTGCCTAGAGGCCAGCCGAAGGGATTTCAGCAATAGTTCCGTGATGCCCTCTTCTGCACCTCGTTGTTGGTTCTCCCTTCCTCGTTTGCATGGCTATGGCACCACCACCACCCCAGTGAGGGCAATGGGGCGGGCGGATTGTGAGGGCGCTACACTCCTGGGGCGGCGGGTGCTGTTTAAAGGGAATCTAAGTTCAAGGGTAGTTTAAATCCTGGTTAGTCTGATCATAGATCAATGTTCTGGGGTGGGGTGAAGGTTTGCGAATGTTGATTTGTTTTAAAAATTTAATCTGAAATTTGTAACATTGCAATTTGGTTATTGTTGTGACCTAATGTGTTGGGCTCAGGGGATTCCTTGGTTTCTTTTTGAGAAGTGCAAAATAATTTTCAAATAAAGTACAGTGAGAAAATATTTCGTTAGACTTAATCACTGTACAGGCCTTTGTGAATCGACTGCTGGATGAGGGCCTCCACACACGGTGGGTGTTATTGTACCAGAATTAACCATTTAAATCTAGATTTGAAGCTTTTCGTGACTGCAAGGATTCATACTCGTAGGTTTTTTCGGTAAAATCACAAAAAAATAATGACGTCCACCTTGGTCAGTTGTAGCTTGGGAAAGGGGGAGAGCCATCGACTCGTGAGGAGAGTGCAGTGGATGTTGCTCCACTGCCCTCTGCTGCCCAACCAGCCCTGGGGCATCACCTTCACAGGGCTGGCCCCACGGACAAACCCCTCGAGAAACTCCAGCGGCGGGGCTGTCTTACCGCACGAGTCTGTAAACATTTACGCGTCTTTG